CCAAAATACTGATTTTTTGTTTACAAAAAATCTGGGAATCGATTTCTGTTAAAAATGCAATATTTCCGAATGGTTTTTTCTGTATAACTTGGCTAAAAATGGTCACACAGCTAAGGTAATTACAGTTTTTTGCTCCTAATTACCAATACTAATCATCCCTATCACTTTTTGTCCGAGTTGGGAAAATCAATTTTTTGGTCAATTTTCGCATTTTTTGTAAGGGGTACCATCATCAAAATTTGCAAAAAATTGAAAAAAATTAAAATTCCCAAATTCGAATACAAATCGATTGGGATTTAAATAACGAGCACAACGGGGTATGACATTCCACATTTGGGCCATTATTTCGAGTGTTCTGACCAAAATACTGATTTTTTGTTTACAAAAAATCTGGGAATCGATTTTTGTTAAAAATGCAATATTTCCGAATGGTTTTTTCTGTATAACTTGGCTAAAAATGGTCACACAGCTAAGGTAATTACAGTTTTTTGCTCCTAATTACCAATACTAATCATCCCTATCACTTTTTGTCCGAGTTGGGAAAATCAATTTTTTGGTCAATTTTCGCATTTTTTGTAAGGGGTACCATCATCAAAATTTGCAAAAAATTGAAAAAAATTAAAATTCCCAAATTCGAATACAAATCGATTGGGATTTAAATAACGAGCACAACGGGGTATGACATTCCACATTTGGGCCATTATTTCGAGTGTTCTGACCAAAATACTGATTTTTTGTTTACAAAAAATCTGGGAATCGATTTCTGTTAAAAATGCAATATTTCCGAATGGTTTTTTCTGTATAACTTGGCTAAAAATGGTCACACAGCTAAGGTAATTACAGTTTTTTGCTCCTAATTACCAATACTAATCATCCCTATCACTTTTTGTCCGAGTTGGGAAAATCAATTTTTTGGTCAATTTTCGCATTTTTTGTAAGGGGTACCATCATCAAAATTTGCAAAAAATTGAAAAAAATTAAAATTCCCAAATTCGAATACAAATCGATTGGGATTTAAATAACGAGCACAACGGGGTATGACATTCCACATTTGGGCCATTATTTCGAGTGTTCTGACCAAAATACTGATTTTTTGTTTACAAAAAATCTGGGAATCGATTTTTGTTAAAAATGCAATATTTCCGAATGGTTTTTTCTGTATAACTTGGCTAAAAATGGTCACACAGCTAAGGTAATTACAGTTTTTTGCTCCTAATTACCAATACTAATCATCCCTATCACTTTTTGTCCGAGTTGGGAAAATCAATTTTTTGGTCAATTTTCGCATTTTTTGTAAGGGGTACCATCATCAAAATTTGCAAAAAATTGAAAAAAATTAAAATTCCCAAATTCGAATACAAATCGATTGGGATTTAAATAACGAGCACAACGGGGTATGACATTCCACATTTGGGCCATTATTTCGAGTGTTCTGACCAAAATACTGATTTTTTGTTTACAAAAAATCTGGGAATCGATTTCTGTTAAAAATGCAATATTTCCGAATGGTTTTTTCTGTATAACTTGGCTAAAAATGGTCACACAGCTAAGGTAATTACAGTTTTTTGCTCCTAATTACCAATACTAATCATCCCTATCACTTTTTGTCCGAGTTGGGAAAATCAATTTTTTGGTCAATTTTCGCATTTTTTGTAAGGGGTACCATCATCAAAATTTGCAAAAAATTGAAAAAAATTAAAATTCCCAAATTCGAATACAAATCGATTGGGATTTAAATAACGAGCACAACGGGGTATGACATTCCACATTTGGGCCATTATTTCGAGTGTTCTGACCAAAATACTGATTTTTTGTTTACAAAAAATCTGGGAATCGATTTTTGTTAAAAATGCAATATTTCCGAATGGTTTTTTCTGTATAACTTGGCTAAAAATGGTCACACAGCTAAGGTAATTACAGTTTTTTGCTCCTAATTACCAATACTAATCATCCCTATCACTTTTTGTCCGAGTTGGGAAAATCAATTTTTTGGTCAATTTTCGCATTTTTTGTAAGGGGTACCATCATCAAAATTTGCAAAAAATTGAAAAAAATTAAAATTCCCAAATTCGAATACAAATCGATTGGGATTTAAATAACGAGCACAACGGGGTATGACATTCCACATTTGGGCCATTATTTCGAGTGTTCTGACCAAAATACTGATTTTTTGTTTACAAAAAATCTGGGAATCGATTTCTGTTAAAAATGCAATATTTCCGAATGGTTTTTTCTGTATAACTTGGCTAAAAATGGTCACACAGCTAAGGTAATTACAGTTTTTTGCTCCTAATTACCAATACTAATCATCCCTATCACTTTTTGTCCGAGTTGGGAAAATCAATTTTTTGGTCAATTTTCGCATTTTTTGTAAGGGGTACCATCATCAAAATTTGCAAAAAATTGAAAAAAATTAAAATTCCCAAATTCGAATACAAATCGATTGGGGTTTAAATAACGAGCTCAACGGGGTATGACATTCCACATTTGGGCCATTATTTCGAGTGTTCTGACCAAAATACTGATTTTTTGTTTACAAAAAATCTGGGAATCGATTTCTGTTAAAAATGCAATATTTCCGAATGGTTTTTTCTGTATAACTTGGCTAAAAATGGTCACACAGCTAAGGTAATTACAGTTTTTTGCTCCTAATTACCAATACTAATCATCCCTATCACTTTTTGTCCGAGTTGGGAAAATCAATTTTTTGGTCAATTTTCGCATTTTTTGTAAGGGGTACCATCATCAAAATTTGCAAAAAATTGAAAAAAATTAAAATTCCCAAATTCGAATACAAATCGATTGGGGTTTAAATAACGAGCTCAACGGGGTATGACATTCCACATTTGGGCCATTATTTCGAGTGTTCTGCCCAAAATACTGATTTTTTGCTTACAAAAAATCTGGAAATCGATTTCTGTTAAAAATGCAATATTTCCGAATGGTTTTTTCTGTATAACTTGGCTAAAAATGGTCACACAGCTAAGGTAATTACAGTTCTTTGCTCCTAATTACCAATACTAATCATCCCTATCACTTTTTGTCCGAGTTGGGAAAATGAATTTTTTGGTCAATTTTCGCATTTTTTGTAAGGGGTACCATCATCAAAATTTGCAAAAAATTGAAAAAAATTAAAATTCCCAAATTCGAATACAAATCGATTGGGGTTTAAATAACGAGCTCAACGGGGTATGACATTCCACATTTGGGCCATTATTTCGAGTGTTCTGACCAAAATACTGATTTTTTGTTTACAAAAAATCTGGGAATCGATTTCTGTTAAAAATGCAATATTTCCGAATGGTTTTTTCTGTATAACTTGGCTAAAAATGGTCACACAGCTAAGGTAATTACAGTTTTTTGCTCCTAATTACCAATACTAATCATCCCTATCACTTTTTGTCCGAGTTGGGAAAATCAATTTTTTGGTCAATTTTCGCATTTTTTGTAAGGGGTACCATCATCAAAATTTTCGAAAAAATTTAAAAAAATTAAAATTCCCAAATTCGAATACAAATCGATTGGGATTTAAATAACGAGCACAACGGGGTATGACATTCCACATTTGGGCCATTATTTCGAGTGTTCTGACCAAAATACTGATTTTTTGTTTACAAAAAATCTGGGAATCGATTTCTGTTAAAAATGCAATATTTCCGAATGGTTTTTTCTGTATAACTTGGCTAAAAATGGTCACACAGCTAAGGTAATTACAGTTTTTTGCTCCTAATTACCAATACTAATCATCCCTATCACTTTTTGTCCGAGTTGGGAAAATCAATTTTTTGGTAAATTTTCGCATTTTTTGTAAGGGGTACCATCATCAAAATTTGCAAAAAATTGAAAAAAATTAAAATTCCCAAATTCGAATACAAATCGATTGGGATTTAAATAACGAGCACAACGGGGTATGACATTCCACATTTGGACCATTATTTCGAGTGTTCTGACCAAAATACTGATTTTTTGTTTACAAAAAATCTGGGAATCGATTTCTGTTAAAAATGCAATATTTCCGAATGGTTTTTTCTGTATAACTTGGCTAAAAATGGTCACACAGCTAAGGTAATTACAGTTTTTTGCTCCTAATTACCAATACTAATCATCCCTATCACTTTTTGTCCGAGTTGGGAAAATCAATTTTTTGGTCAATTTTCGCATTTTTTGTAAGGGGTACCATCATCAAAATTTGCAAAAAATTGAAAAAAATTAAAATTCCCAAATTCGAATACAAATCGATTGGGATTTAAATAACGAGCACAACGGGGTATGACATTCCACATTTGGGCCATTATTTCGAGTGTTCTGACCAAAATACTGATTTTTTGCTTACAAAAAATCTGGAAATCGATTTCTGTTAAAAATGCAATATTTCCGAATGGTTTTTTCTGTATAACTTTTTTTGTTAGCAATAATTTGGCTACTAATGCTCTACCTTGCTCATCACTGAGTAATTATTTTTGGACGTCTCTCTCTTTCTCGTGCTAACGTAATTTGAGCTCAGGTTTTGGTTTAAGCCTCGTTCACCTTTGCTGGCTCAGCGATGCACGACCAACTCGATTATTTGGCGTTGGGTTCCAAACATCAAATGGGAGCCCTATCTGGCCATCTCTCGCTTTTTTGTCAGAAACCTGTTGCGTACAGAGAGAAAATACCCACAGCTGAGAGGCCCAAATGAAAACTTATTTGTTTCGATAAATATAACAGAATTTATGCCGAAAATGGTAAGTGTGGTTATATGACAAATAAATATAACGTGTTATCGTTAAGTATTCGTTAATATAGGAGGCTATATTCCATGATTTTGCCAAGTGTATCTTTTATAGAGCTAACGATCTGCACTCTCTCAAGCTCCAAGTGTCTCTCCTCACATAAGCAACAAGCTTTTGGATCCTAAGCTTATGCTGTCGTTAAAAAGCTCCACATTAAGCCAATTTTTCATGATTTTGACCAAAGAGTACAGCCCACAACCATTAGGTGAAACTAGCTAACCACATTAGTCCATCTCACAATTCCTTTCTTTGGGAATTTAACTGTGATCTATAATATCTATTTTATTCTATTAAAACATCTTTACAAACATTGTCTATTACACTTGTAATAGACATTATGATGACACAACACTGTTATTCCCCCGAGTGTTTTGCCTCCGAATTTCATAAAAAGTGTGTGGTTTTTGATAAATATATATATATAAATTTATAAGCAGAATAAATAAGTTGAAGGAGGGCCGTTTAGGGCGCTCTCTTTCGAGATAACGAGAGATTTGTTTGTGATGTGTTGGAAAATGAGTGGACAGGACATCCACCCGGTTTACCAGTCGTCATCGACATCCTTGGAGATCTCAAGGAGGAAGGGGGTCTTGAAGTTCTGCAGCTTTCGTCGGCAGTTTCTGCTCAGCGGATTATTGCGAAGATCAACAAGGGCCAAATTGTCACTGGTAATTGCCTCATCGGTATCAATTTCTAGTGGGTTCAATGCACTTGGCTCATTAAGTAATTCGTTATTAGGCGGCTTTCATTCGAACTTACCCAATATGGCATTGTTCTGGGCATCCAGACTGGCAAGACTCTGAAGCTTAAAGACTACTTGTGGCAAAACGATGAACGAGTTGTTTGAGATATTCAGCTTGGTCAGTGCAGACAAGCTGGCGAATTCTTCTGGCAGCCTCGACAGTTTGTTGTGTGACAGATTAAGATCTGGAAGGAAATACACCCATCGTAAATATATATAATATATGTATATATATTTTCAACCCACCTGTGATGGTGCTGAACTTTTGCGAAAACTTGGGCGATACGCTTTTGAGCACATTGCCACTGAGATTGCAGGTGACCAACTCGGTGTTTCGCATAAGATGATACACTGCATCTGGTATTTGCATCAGTTCACAGCTCGAGAGATCTGAAAGAACAGAAATGTATAGTTATAACCTTCAGATATGGAAAGCTGGAGCAAAATTACTGGTTCAAGAACAGAATTCGTGCAGAAATAGCTTTTGCCATTGAAAAGCTATCCCACACATGTTGGAGCACTGGTTCTTTTGGCCCACAATATATGGTGGTTATATGGTGTTATCTCAGGAACTCCTACCTAAATGAGCACTTTCGTTGGCATTTTCGCAACGCTCAATCACCCTCACCACCAAGTGCGCCATCACCAAGTTACCACGCGACCCTCGTAACCAGCCTTATCAATACCTATATGTATATAGATATAGGCACATATATAACTTCCCGATTCTCCCTACGTTCGCTCACAGCCGAATCGGCCAACACTGAGCACGTGAACGGAACTGCCTAAATATAAATACATTTCCCCATCTGCGCACGCAACTTACGAGTATTACGCGGAAAGAGCGCCGATATCGGGCGACTCTCTCTCTATGCTCTGTACAGTTATTGTGAGTCATGATCGCGAAAGCTTTTCGCCGATCTTTGAGTTTAAGAGCGGGAGAAGACTCAGTTTCTCTCGCGGAAATTGCGTCTGTCCACACTGAAACTGCGATGTGTTTTCTTTGGGAAAAACCGATGAAATAAAATTGAAAACAAAAACATTGGTTTACAACATTTCACGAAGCGTGTGTGCGTGCATTGTTTGTGTGTTTTTAAGGCAAAGCACTGGTAAACATATTAATAGAGTATTTCTGAATAATACATGTGTAACGCTTTTCACTTCATGGTAAGCGGGAAGTAAATAAATAGTAATTGCTTTCAAACGTTCGGTAAGGATGTCTATGTGTACCACTAAAAATGCCTAGGCATTCCAGATATGCATTAATGCATTTTTGTTTTTAAAGTAAGTTGCATTGTGTTTACTGCATCTTATTTATAGCATCGCAAATGTCGCCCTCTTACGCTATTAAATTAAATTGTAGCAAATTGCTAAAGTTTGGAAGATACCCTGTAAAACAAACATTTATTTCCTATTTCAGTTCCGCTCATAATGTTTTTGTCTTGGAAAGAAGGCTGCGAATCTCGCACACTAATCTTCAGATTTCTACAACAATTTTAAATGAATGAACAACTGAATCGGCAAATCGAAAAATGAGATCATATGGGGCCAATGCCTTGGCAATTAGTACCACCCCCACTGCCACTTGCACTTATCGCGCCCATTGATAATTTACCTTTCTTTGTTAACCGACCGATGGGAACTCAAGGCAATAATAATAATGGGTAAACAGTGCAGTATAGTAGAATCGCAATCGACAGAGACGCACTTTCCCGTCAATTTGTGCGGGAGTGTTCTTTTCGGATTGGTAGGGCTCTCAATTATAAACAAATGTGGGATTTCGTATGGGGAAGTCGGTGCGCAATAACTGAAATTGGCAATTGCCCAATTGTCCATACTACGACCCATATGCGAATGTATGCATATATGGATGGAATAAACAGAACGCGTCTAGTTGCAACTGCGCCTCAAACGAAAATGAGTGGGTCAGATGTACCTAGTACCTAGCAGGTACATATATTATCGAGGACCGCCTACCCAGCTTGTGGTTCTCCTTGGCGTCCTCGCACCGCTGGACCACCCGGATGACTCCTTGTCCGGCGATCGGGGGGCAGGTGACGATTCCGCCGATCCTCGCTATATGCGGCGGAATACTCGGATCTGTGGACTCCTCGCTGGGATCCTCGCTGGAGAGGTTGGTGCTCCGGTTGTCGTTGCCGTCGTTGGGCTCGTTGTTGCCATTGTTGCTACCATTATTACCACCATTGTTGCCGCCGTTCGGGATGTTTGTTATATCGTTGCCGAAAGGCCGCATCTTTGGTTTTAACTAGTCTGCGGTGGGTCACTGGGTAATCACTCGAAAAAAATATGTGTGTGTTTGTATTGCAATCACTGTTGCAAGTGTGATTGGTTGAACTTATAGCTCTCCTACTATTTGGACTGTTTAAACGCGAGCTACTTCGCAACCAACTGAACGTGACAATCTTCCGCATTGAAATATTGAAAATGCTTTTTACTTTCGGTTTTTATAGCACGAAGAAGAAAGAAAAGCTGCGCATAACAAAACAAATGAAAAATAAAATGCGAAGAAAAACAAAAAATAATAGCACAATTTGGCAGCTCGAGCGCACGCCGAATTCGAGATACTCTCTCTTTGGCACTGAAAGAGTCGTTAGCCTTGTGATAGAACTCACAGTTCATTAAATCTATGTTTGAAGGAAGTGGAAGGGATAATCCATACGAAGTATCTCTCAGATTATCGAAACTAATAATATGTCGAAAATAAATATATAATTTAGAGAGTTTGAGCGACTTTTTAAGGCAAGGCTTCCTTATAATACATATAAAATATATTCTATTTTAATAACCCCTTCAAACGCGCATAGCTGCATCGTAACAAAATGTCTTATCATCCTAAGAGCAATAGCCTCTGATATAAACAGTCCTTCTTTCTCTTGCCAATAAAATAAGCTTGTTCTATCTGCGGAAAAGTGTAAAAGTTCAATGCGAAAACACAGAGTAGACGTTTGAGAGAGAGAGCGGGAGAGAGAGAGAGGATTGCACCGTACACTAGTCAACAAGGTAATGCAAAAACTAATGCAAATAGTTAAGGAAACCTTTACTTTAATACGAAAATGTAGTTACGATGCATAAGATCTAGGACCATTGCAGCCGCCCTTTTCATTCAAAACGTTTTTCGTAACTTGTTGGCCATTGTAAATTGGCCAACATACTTATAGAATCGACTTTTACGCATCAGCCGTTCGCTGTTCTTACCAGTCAAAAACAAGTCGTACCGAACACCTCATTTCCATGTAATATATGTAATTATAAATAATAAGCAAACTTTTGTACACTTATTCAAGATAATGGCCATGTTCAAGGTTGCCAAGGCTATTCTACCCATTACCTGTGATTCCCGGAGAAAAAAGACTACTCCAGTCGATGATCAATGAGAGCTGTCGAAAGCTGAAAAGGCTAATTTTAAGTTCTGCTCCCCAAAGCTCCACACTGCACTTTCTTTAAAGTTGGGGAAAGCTTTCCCCACCAAATCTCTGAACAATATCCATTTGGCACATAAAATACCCTTTTTTTATAGAATTAAGATTAAGATCTACTTGTATTTGGATCAGGATGCAAATCCAAAGATCCTGAACGGCCATAGGACCTTTTTTTTAAATTCCCACCAGCAAGAAGAGTATGGCCGCATCGAGAACAAAGTGATTTGTCATCCTAAGAGCAATAGCCCCTGATATAAACACCCATGCCTGCTGCCGCGGAAAAGCTTGTTAAGTCTGCGGAAAAGTGTAAAAGTTCAATGAAAAAGGAGAAAGTGCGTTGTATATAAATCGTTCCTATAGAACCGATCTTCTACGCATCCGTCATATGATTTTTCTCTGTTCCGGAATCGTCTCTGGTCTCATTAGATACCTGGCATTTTGAACTTGACATTTCCACGTTCACATATCTCTTGCTTAAATACAGAATGGTATGGTAAATAAGCCCAATCAAAACATTTCGGAAAACAATTTAAGTAGATACTACGCTGATGAAGGAAATCGATGTCAAAAATATTTAATCTATTACTCTGTTACAAACCGATATACAAACATTTTGCTATACAATATTAGACAAATATCATACGAAGTGTGAGGGAACTTGGTTAAAAATGTTTATTTGCCAAAACAAGTTGGAACTCTATGGATACCATTGATATATCCATTAAGTGTGGGGTAATCCCATATTATGTATGTACAAATCTGTTTCAAAACTGACAAATAAGCGTATTTGATCGAAACAAATGGCTAAAATTGAAATACTTCTAGTTAAGTATGCCACAACACGAATTAAAAATGCCCATTAGTTCACTAACACATTTCCAGTCTACTACTTAAGATTATGTACGAGTTCACGCGAATACACCAGTATTTAACCATTGACTTTACGAAGGTCCTTGAGGTCCTTGGATCCCCTGATCCCCTGATCTATTGCAGCACCACACCCTGGGCATGCTGCAAACCCGTGCACAAGTACAGCATGATGATGCTGAGCGCCTGGACGCGCTCATCCGATCTGTCCGATTTCCAGGGCGAGGATTCCGTCGCCTTCTCCGCGTCGTTCATCAGCGTGTAGCCCTCGGTCTCCGCATCCAGGGCTACTTTCAGCTTCGTTAGCTGTTAGTATCATATCATATATATAATATATATCTATATACTTGCAGATGCCATGTGGACTTACCAGCTCGTTTATCTTGGCCACCCGCTCATCGGGCGGCAGGGCAACGTATAAGTGTTTGCTGGTGCTCTTGGCCAGATTCATCAGATCCTCGTTGCGTGTGTGCCGGATGATGGGCTCCGTGATGACGATCACCTGCTCGAAGCTGAGCTCCGGGCAGTCCAATGGCAGCGCCTCCAGGTGCTGGGTGACGCTCTCGAAGGGATTCTGCTGCAGCGCCGGTGTCGCCTCTTCCACAATCGATGATTTTCTGCCAGTAGGAGTGTGCGCATTCAATAAGTGCCCATGTCAGCCGGGTCAGCGTGTCCACTTACCGCGATGGCGTGTGCTGTGGACTGGGAGGCAGACTCTTGGAGTTCATCTGCTGGCCACTGCCAGTCAGCGAGGATACGATGCCGGGAATGTCCAGGTTGCTTGCCTGCCGCTTGATGCCCTGGGCTAGCATTCCGGTGAGGCTGGAGCGATGGACGTCCAGGCCAGAGGCCGTCGGCGATTGAATCTGTCCCTGATCTCCGCCAGATGCAGGCGACGTCTCCTCCAACGGAGTGGCGCCCGTGCTGGCATCCAGGATCTGCGGATTGTCGGCCTGTGTAATGGTGAACTCCGGCCGGCTGGCCATCGAAGGCGTGGAGGAGGTGCCCGTCATGGAGCCAGTGCAGTCCACCGGACCACAGACGGTGGCCATCTGGCACTTGACTATGCACTTCTTGTGGCAGCACATCGAGCACTCCTGGCACTGCATGGCGTCCTTCAGCCAGATCTTCTTGCCGCAAAAGTCGCACTGCGTCGCCCGATGAAAGTGGGTTCTCACAAAGTCGTGGGCCCTTGGAGCGGCTGCTGTGGCACCGGGGGATTCGCCGGATGTGGAGCTGTCCGCCAAGGAGCTCGTCAGCTTAAGGAACTGCGCCTGATCTTCTGCAGCCACTCGATCGCCGGCTGATGGGTTTCTGCATTGCAACAAATAGAATTAGTTCTGTGCCTTGATCCAGAAATTGGAGCTCACCTGGCCGGAGACTGGGACTTGGAGCTGCTTTTGATGGGCACATCGCCCACCGTCAAATTGGGATTGCCCATCCAGGAGAAACCAAACAGAATGTCGCCGAAGCAGAAGTGCGGATTGAAGCCGGACTGATTGGACAGCGGATGCGTCTTCCTGCGGAACAGTAGGTACCCATTAAATGCATTGTGGATCCTGAAGGATAACTTACACAGCCTGCAGCGACGCTGGATTGAGACTGATCTGCTTGAGGCACTGGTTCAGACTGGTTTCGGAGCACTCGACCAGGATTTGGCTGATCTGGACATTGTTGTACCCCAGTAGCACACTCTCGCCGGCGGATTTGCCAAAGACGCAGACGTTGAGGAAGCGACTGGAGTTGTCCAGCTGGAAGCTGCACACGTCGTCCATGTGGATAAGTGGGCTAAACGGGCAGTCGATGGTGGAGTGCTGGTAGAAGTAGTTGACCGGCTCCTCCACTTCCTCCTTGCCTTTGTCCTTGTCCCTGTCCTTGTCTTTATCCTTGTCCTTGTCCTTGTCCTTATCCTTGTCCTTATCCTTATCCTTGTCCTTGTCCTTGTCCTTGTCCCGATCCTTATCCCCGCTCTCCCGACTCATTGTCTTCTTGATGGCCTTGGCAATGAGGTTGGACTTCTTCGGGGAATTGGTCGGAGTTCCGCTCAAACTGGGCTTCACCACCAGGTGCTTGGGTGCCGGATCAGCGGGAGCCGCAGCAGCTGGCTCATCCGCCTCCGGCTTCTGCTGGCAGGGATAGGAGCTGGGCAGATCGCCGATGTCCTCGTACTTATCGAAGTCCTCCAGAATGGCATCGTTGCGAATAATGCCAGGAATGATGCGCTCGATGCGCAGACTAAAGACAGTGGCCTGCAGCGTCTTGACCACCTTGGCAATCTGCTGAATGGTGGTCACCGGCCTGCCCTCGATGGCCACCAGGACGTCGCCGGCCAGCAGGTTGGACTTGCAGGCCGGCGTATTCGGGAGCACGGACTCGATTCGGACCACCTGGCTGCCGCTCTGCTTGAAGACGATTCCGATCTGCTGGTTCTTCGCCTTGTGAATGAACACGTCCAGCGAGATGAGCACATTCCGGCTATCCCGCTGACTGGCCTCGATGAAGGGCACCGGCGCCAGTGTGATGGTGCAGTACGTCTCACTGGCACCCGGACAGCCCATCAGCCGGGACAGCTCCGCCAGCTTGACGGTGAGCAGGCCGTTCGGCTGGATGTCACAGTCGCCGGCGTCCTCCTCCGCCGTCCAGTGGAAGAAGGGCTTGTAGCGCAGCTTGTAGTTGGGCAGCGTGTGTTTCCGGCGCACCGCCTTGCGGATCTGGTTCGAGATCAGGTTGGTTATGTTCGACTGCATCTGGCGGCCCTGGTACTTCGACTCGATGTCCAGGATCAGCTCCGGGTCGCCCAGGAAGCTAATTGACCAGTGCGTATAGGGCTTCCTCGTGAACTGCAGACGCGCCATTCCCGAGAGCTGCTTGACTGCAATAAGAGATGTGTTTGTTAACAAAATAGATGTTAAATAGGTATAAAAGCAAATTAAAGCCACAGAGCTTTAAGGATTGCGATTCAGTCGCACCCTTAGCTCCAAATGATTGTCCAGAAGCTTTTCCACCTGGTGGTTGGAATAATTAAACCATCGCCCAGTCGCCAACTCACTCACCCCTAAGCATTATCGATCCCTTCTTGCCCAGCACCATGTCCGCGTCAATGGAAGTTGTGAAATTGCCGACGTAGTTGATGTCCAGCAGCAGGTCGAGATTCTCGATGCGCTGCTCATCCTTGTCCAACTCCACGTTGTGCACGGATAGCGACTTGACGTCTGGAAACTGGTCGCCCAGCTCGAGCTCCTTAATCTGAGATGTTATGGGTGGCATTGTGAGTACACTATCGATTTCGAAACTAATAAAAGGGCTTAGGCCTTGCCGACCTGTTACGCACCCTACCCCACTTTTTTTTATGGAAAAACAAGTAAATACATCTCACCGTGAGCTTGTCCAGCAGTTTTCCGGTGGTAGTCTTTGAAATCAGTTCGTCCAGTTCAATGGACAGCTTGCGGTAGAACCACTTCCGCACCCGATTGGAGTTCTTGAACTCGTGGAAGAGAAACTGCATGACGAAGTTGAGGGAGACCAGGGCGGAGGCCCGCCGGAGGCTCTCCTGCTGGTGGTTCTCGCACCCGTTTCCTGCGCCGCCTGCCAGCCCAGAGTTGGATAGTCTCTTCAGGTTCCTGGCCGTTTGCTTGATGTTCTGCGAAAGTTGGAAAGGAAGTTGGAAATATAATAAACAAACAGGGCATTGTGCGCGCAGTGCTCACCAATGGCAGGGTGTACTTGGCATTCGCCTGCTTCTGCTCCTCGCTTTCGTCGGGCAGATTCGAGAACTTGATGAAGATGAGGTACTGCAGCAGGATCATCACCACCCCGCCGATCAGCAGGAAGATCAGGCAGAGCAGTAGAATGTTCGAAATGGGTATCTCCATGCTGGCGGCGCTTTAGGCGCTCACTCGATTTTCGGATTTCGTTGCTGGCGGAGCTGCGAGGCTTCGATTGCACCAGCTATGGTGTCCAAAAGCTCCACTGGCCACAAGATTACTGCTGTCAGTCTTTTCAATTACGTTCTGGATGTGCTCGCATTGTATCGCCCAGTAGCGTTCGCAGTTCACACGGAGTTTGGATGCATCCGAACTGCTGACCCTTCCATTTGGCTGGTACCAGAGCAGACTTCGCCAATATGAGGCTGTTCCCAGCTATCGGTAGCTATGTCACAACTGCTGAATGGGCGACATAAAATCAATATGTATCCGCACCACTGGCTGCGCCTTTTTTTGTGCCCTGGGCCCTCTGCCATGCGCCTGCGCCCGGATCAGCTGGTAACCTTCCTGGGGGTTGATTCGAAGCCAATCCGGAGGCAGTCGTCAGCCGGACCCTTGGACCAGCTGTTCGGAGCGGCGGACTGGGGTACAGGATGCCCTAATGGCAGGAAGCTCCAGTTGCTCTTTAGTGGCTCTTCAGTTGCTCAAGGATGCTGGGATCCTTTGGTGCTTCCATGGACTGATCCACATTCCTTTGTCTACTTTAGTCCATGAAAACGTTAATAAAATCTTTATAATTTTACTAGCAAATCCACCCCAAACATTTTTTTATAATTTTACTCGTTTAAATAAATGTAATGTAACCCTTTATTACTTAAATATTTTTTTGAAAATTTTTTGAAATGCACAAGTAAAACACGAGATGCGCAATTTGTGTTATTTTTTTGACATTTATTTTCTTCTTGTTTTTGTTTTTATTATGGTATTCCTTTACTTTATGTAAAATAAGAAAGTATTAATAGTTTTATTAACAAATTTGTTGAAGGCAGGTATTTATGTTATTATATGTTTATGTATGTATATCTTGTATATAAATTACGAGTCATCTTTATAATTACATAATTATTAAATGTAGTTTAATTATCTCTAGCGTATCTTAGTAATTAATTTAACTGCTTTATTCACTTAGAATATTAAGTTAAGATATTTTAATTTATATTTATGTTTTCCTCCATACATTTATGTATATATTTTATCATTACAATTTAGCCGTAACAGTTACATTCTTCTAATTTAAACTAATTTCATTATTATTAATTTTGTTTCCTTTCCTATTCGCAAATCATCCCCTCACACATCCTATACTTTATATATCTTGTTGCTTTGTAAAAAAAAGTCAGATCTACTTACATATATGTATTTCCTTTTTATTTTAGCTTGTTTCCGTTCTTTTTGGTTTTGGTTTTTTGTTTAGTTTCTTTTTCATGTAACCGCTCACACCAGACAGTAAACAAATAACAAAATACACAGTCGAATCGTAGTTAGGGTTAAATGTGGTTAAATGTGGTTGTTTGCTGTTTTGAAAGAAGTAAGCCACCTACGACATGAGTCAAGGAACACAGGAGCGGACCGTTCGGGGTCACCTCAGTTTCTGGATTGGAACTCCAGTATTCGAACTGAGGTTTGGCTCGGCAGCAGCCTGGTGTTAATCAACCTTAGGATACATATGTAACCAGCTTTAGAATGTAATGACTGGATCTGAATCTGGATCTGGATCGGGCAGTGCTACCCATGGCATTTGCATGTGTGGGGAATGCAAGGATCTGGATCTGGAAGAACAATCGATCGCAGCATTGTGTAAGTTTATGTGTATGTTTGTTTCTTATTTGTTTATATTTTCTATCAAATGGCGGTACGCGGTGCCCGACTTGTTCTTCCCCGGAATGTGATGTGGATACTCGATCCCGCCACCTGGCACCTGACCATTTTCGAGTACGACGTACAAGTAGGAGTAAAGTTGGGCAGAGTTCGCGGTCGGCCAGCTGGGAGCCTTTTTCGAAGGACGAAGCGAAGATAGTGGGACTTGGAAAGCGAATCGAATGGAATCGGATTGAAGTGGTCACGAGCTTGCCAAATTGTTGCTAACTAAATATTTGCTCTATGGGCATCATGAACTGGATAAACGTCTGATACTGAATCCATATCAGTAAACTAACTTCATACTTTGTACTCATTTCTATTCTTTTTTGGTTTTGGTTTCGTTTTTTTCTTGTATTTTTTATTATTTTTTTGGTGTTTTATTATTTTCTATATTTTGTTTAGTTTTGGCATCGGGGCAATGATTCAGTAGTAGTAATTGAGCTAATGAGCCCTAAGCTGCCCTTCCAAGAACTCTACTGGTGTGGGAATATCGCTAGTTATAATTCGAATGTTAATGTTAAGCAAGCGGTGCAAAATGAAGGTAAAAAATCGGATCTTAGCCTAGGACTGAGGACTTGAAACATTTGCCACGTGGACAAACTTTTACTGGAAGTAGTCAAAAGTGAACCTCGGAAATACAACGTGCAACGTGTATACAATTAATTATTAATCATTGGAGAGTGAACTTTTATATCGGCGATCTTTGTTTTTCCTTAGCGATGGAGTTCCCATTTTATTTGATACTAGTTATAAACTATTGTATATTTATCTATGTATGTAGGCGTGTATATATATCTTCAATGTATGTCAGCATCCGTAATTAAGATAATTATAGAAGAATACGCTTGTCGGTTACCGTTTCCACACTCCCCCCTTGTTCTCTAGATTTTAGAAAATCGCCATAAAATCAAAAATGAAGAGGTTTTAAAAAACTTCACAACGAGAAATTTAGTTTACAAACAATATCAGCAAGACTTCTGCTCTTCGTGTCCGGTAAAGTAAAAATAGTGATTATTGCTATCACAAACTAATATCTAACAAAATCAGCAATTTCAATACGAAATACTAACGAAATACTAAGTTGGGATAAATTTCGGGCATTTTTCAAACTTACGGCTTACAGCCGTAAATGGCGAACATTAAAATGGCGAGTTTCCAAGTTAAATGGCGATCTTGACCTTTTTGAGTGTATATTTGGGTTAATCGTTTCTAGGTTAGTCGTTTTCCCTATTCAGTATTGCTCAGTTAATATTTAAGTATCGTACACAGCTAAAGTCAGCTCAGTTAAGTTAGTTTAGGGCAAGTGTTTCTGTTTGCTAAATGTTCTGTTTCATTTTAACTGCCGTATGCACTCTACTCTAGTCATCGTCATATTCGTAATGGTAAGTTCATTTGCTGTGTAAATTCGCATTACTGCTCAGCTGCTATAATTATTTACTTAAGTTATGGATTCTTTTCTTTAAATTACAATTATTGTGCGCTCTTCGATATCCCGTCGTCCAACATGTACGATTCGTCTATCTATACACATGATGACTGCATTTTCTGGTAGTGAGTTGGAGGGGCTGTGTGCATGGCTATATATTGAATACATTACGTTTGGTGTGCCATGAGCTCTGCGTTTTTACACATTTTACACATTCAATTCAATATGAGGAGTCGGAGGTGTATTATATCTACACATGTTTTTGTTTACGTTGAGGATGCTCGATTGCGGAAACAATTTATTGTTGTTTATAAATACACTTGGACATCGAGTCTCTCAACTGATCGGAAATTTGCGAGGAGCTAATTTCAGCATACGAAATGCATTAACAGAAGCATAAACCTTTCTTTGGTTGCACATTACAGAGTAATACAGAGTATAGAGCAGCGTTCCATTTGCTAAGGGAAATATGACAAGCTATTGTAAATTGCAAAGGTCTGTATACACAAATGGCGCTGAATGATGCTTACTTTACAGATACATGCTTTGGTCATAATTGAGATATTTGGATTTAGCTTTGGTGTTTGGTGTTAGCTTCTGTGGTGGATTTGCCATGTGGTCGAAAAATGTATCCGCTCGAGTATAAATACACAACTGAATGTAAAACCGTAGGGGATTAAATTGCACAGAATTGTGGCTAATATTCGCTATCGGGTTGCTTTTTGATGAAGGTATTTATAATAGTAGTCGTAGGTAAGTATATTACATACAATAGAAAAAAAAGAAACTATTTGATATCTACAATTATCTGGTATGTACATTGAATAAATAAAATGTCGCATTTAAATACACGTAATTGAATTACTAACTTTTAATACAAACAAGTCAAAAACGCTTGCAGATTACCGTTCCGATTCCTCGAGCTAAGTCCTAGATAACTTACAATGTATGCGAGTACCTACAATCTTTATGTCCTATGTATTTTCGACCTAGATCTATGTGTGTTCTGCTTGAAAGAGTTCTGTTATCGTTAGCTTCATTTTGATGTGCTCTTCATCTAGACTTGCCCTTACATTAAAAAAAAGTACAATACACTTGATCATATTCATATCTAAAATTAAGTTCTCTACTCCTATTTCTAAGCAAATAGTAGCTCTAATCTGTTTACAATCTCCCCACTCCTACTCCCATCACGTGGAATGGAATCTCTCTCTCATTCTTTACACCTCGCCTCAGTTTCAGTTTCAGTTTGAGTTTCAATAAAGTTGCACTTTTAGTGGATCTGGTTACTGGTTACTGGATTCCGGACACTGGTTTCCCGATTATGAACTATGGAGTGTGGCGCCTGCATAATGGATGCTCGTTCTTGATCCTGTGCTCCTTAGAGCGTATGATACGAATACTGCGGATAGTGCTGGTGATGCTGCTGCAGTGGTGGCTCGTGTTGTAGATCTGGTGTAGTAAGTTCTGGCTGGAGATAATGATGAGCTGGTGCATCCTCCACACTGTCATTATCAGTTCCTCGTTCAGTATTATAATTAATGTCATTATCTGAATATATCTTTTTAATAGCTAATGGGGACGTTATTGTAATTGGTACGCTTAATATCATTGCTTCAGTTTTAGTTGTCCTTGGTGTTATTGCAGTTGTTCCGGTTTCACTTCTCTTCATACTTCTAATGAATTCGATATCGGAGTGGGGCGATGTTGTTCTGGTCTCCGGCAATGATGCCATCACTGGGGATCCGTATGGACCCGCTGGCCGGTACCATCTCAGCCACCCATCCTGATGCAATTGTTGCTCCTGCTTCTGTTGCGATTGCGGTTGTCGATTCGGGTTTAATTCCTGTAAGCTAACTCCAGCCAATTTGATATCAGATATAGTTGTTCCTAGTTTCGGTGTCGATACGTTCGTGCCATACCTTTGATATAGGTGCTGCTCTTGGTGTGGTCGTTGATGTTGGTGTTGCTGTTGCTGTTGGTGTTGCTGTTGGTGCTGGTGTACTGCTGGACAAAGGTATGGAAGGATTTGCTGATGTTCGGGTATCTGGTAGCTGTGTCGTATCGTATCAAAATTGTGATCTAAGTTTGGTGCTGACAACGAGGAGCAAATGGCCTGATGCTATACCCAGATCTGATCCTTTCGATTACGCGATCGCAATCAAAGCCTTTGCTAGCACCAATCCTCCTCATCCGAATCGGAGTGTCGAGGGTTCAGACCACTCTTTGGCTTAAAACCATTTAGAACTGGAGATGGCAGTACACGACCTGTTCGGCCCATAGCCAGCGCTTGCTCGAATGACAGCGGTGCTATATATTCCAGTCTGCGGTATAGGGACTTATGTTAGTCGAGTACTGTAATCCCATGTAGCACTACTCACCTTTCTCTTTCGACCTCCCGCTCGCGATCTCTTTCGCGCTCGTACAACTCCCGTTCCCGATCCCGGTACTCGTAGCGCAGGTCGTACTCGTGCAGGCGATCGCGATCCCTTTCGCGATCCCGATCCCTAAGGCGTTCGCGATCCCGCTCGCGTTCTCTACTACTGTAGTACATATCCCTAGGATCTCGCAGCAGGTCGCGGTGGTGTGGTAGCGAGTGAACACTGTGGGGCGTTGAGTGGTGTGTCTGCTAGAAGGAATGTATTTATATTAGTTTATATTATAGGGGTACAAGGTATCTGATAGTCGGTACACTCTACTTGTTTAATTCGTTTTCCACTTACATGTGTGGGACTGGCATTCAGCTTCGGGAAATTGATATTGGTCGGCTTGAGCTGCAGTGTTGACGGTTTGCTGGGAGTCGGAGGAAGGCGTCTTCCGATTCCGGCTCTTCGGGAGGCCAGTGTTGGGTAACTGTGCTGTACATGCGTTACACCTGCGGAAATTGGAGACATTACTTCCCTGTGGGCTGAACAGGGGCAGTTTAGGGCGTTAGTCGTTGCAAAAATACTCTGCTGTTATGATACTGAACAAAGTGTACCTAAGTTGTTCTTCATTAACATTAACATGGACTTAAAACATACATACAAATATATATGAAACATAAGATAGAGTGGGACATGTTCATTTCGATTAGTTGGAACTAACTATCTTAATAACTGAAGACAATCAGACAGACTTTAGCGTAACCAGATTTACATATGCTGACTTTAATTGTGCGACAGTTAGTGGAATTGATTAGTCTCAATAGGGACTAATGAATTTTGAAAGTACAGGTCAAAATCAGCTTAAAACGGTTTAGGATTTCCTTTAATTATAATTATAGTTTCGTAAAATGCAAGAGGTTTATTTGACAGGTCCTTTCAAAACTCCTAGTTTACAACTTTTGCACAATTATGATTTTATTGTTTCTATGACAGGTGATTATTCGACATTGTGGAAAGGATGAACATGTCCCAATCCGAACGTGGTTTATAATTTAACTTTAATGTTGTTTAAAAAATTGTTGCTATGCCAAAAATGCATTCACTGTATCTACGTTCATAAGCGTGTGGAATTATTTGAGCACCCTACAGAATTATACAACTTAGAAAAATATGGAACAGTAACAGTGCTATATAATGTATTGAGAGAAATATACACAAGTATTGGGATGATTTGGGGAATGGCCGGTCGGCAGCTAAATTGTTCATGGCAACATGCGTGACTGTTCGATTCGATCTATAGAGATACCATTTATGCAAAAACGAAAAGGATGGATTAAGAAATGGTGCAGAATACTATTGACGCACATTCACAGATAGATAGGATAGATAAATATGCACACACGTCTAGATACTGAAACACCCGAAGGCTGCAACCCAAATTATTCCTCTGGTAAATATTATATATACGAGTATGAATGTAGAGCTCAGTCGATTTCACCGCCCAAAACTGGTACAAAAAACAATACTGGAACATTGCCTGCATATCTGTGGTAGTAACTGGGTGTTTTTTGTTTTTTTGTTTTTTGGAACGAGAAGCAAGCTTTAAATAGAGATTCTTGGTCAGTGTCGTATCCTGTGCTGGTCAGGCTGACAGAGGTCAATTTGGAACAAAAAAAATATATATGTACTACATACTATGGCTTACGAACTTCACCTTCTTTGTGGGATTGACTAGGAAATGATGTTCACTTATCTCACCCCTACACATTATTGCTGTTCAAATGCGAGTTCCTCTAACATCGAAGTTTTCTTTATTAAGAAGTGACCAGTACCTCAGAGTCCGTCGAAAGTAGTCCTGACTCAAAATGGTATATTATTTAAACTCTACTGCTCTATTGCTATTTAACAATTCATTTGCCAGAGATTGTGTGGTTGTTTGATGACGGGATGAATGTCTGTACATGGCAGCACCATACATACGCGATGTGATTATAATATAGGTGGATGGTACGATGGTACGATGGTACGATGGTACGAGGATGGCATCTAGAGAAATGAAAACAATAAACGCTGCTAGTGTAACAAGAGTACGAGTACGAGTACGAATAGTTGGGCACATAATCATGATCATGTTGTAGATCACCGATCTGAATGAGTTCGCGAGCTGTGTGGGATGTATGGTATGATAGGAGTATTTGAACTACTCGATTAGTTGAAGCTTATGGTTGACTGATTGGCTGGTTGATTGACTGATTGTTGGTTTTCTGATCGAACGTCTGGGTATGACAATACATGTACATGTTAAGCATGGTTGGCAACTATGTACGAATACAAGTTAGTTACGAGTTACGAGTTACGAGTTTACGGTTTACGAGTAAGCATGTCTGATCTTTGATGTTTGTAAAGTTGAGATGGTTGAAGTCGAAATTTGTGTAGAAGAAAATACTAGCATATATAGAAAACAAGTTGAGTAGTTGTTTTGTTAAATTGTTTAAAGTTGATTTTGATTGAGCTTGTTGGACTTTAGATAACAAGTGCTAAGGATGTACCCATATCAATCCCATAACCAAGTCTGTCTCGTTCACGCATCTCCTGAAGTCTAGCGGGACTCGGCGATCGTGATCTTTGACATAGACTGGTTGTCCCATATGTGGGATAAGGCAGTTGAGTGCGTTTACTGCGAGACAAATGACCACCATATCGAGAAGGCGAAGGCGAACGGGCCGGACTTGTCGATGCTGACCATGAACCTATATTGTACATATAACAACAATAATAAAAAAAAGTAATAATTAAGGATGTCGGGGCACAACATTTTACGTATTGGATCTTAGCAACATATTTTCTTTTCTTTTTTAATTTTTGTTTTTTTGCGATTTTCAAATTGCTTTCGAAGAGGGAAACAATAAAGGAGGACCGACTTAACGGAAACGATAAAATTATTATTGGAATATAACGTATTTGTATTAAAAGATTTCGTTAATAGCTATGGAATTGTAGACATATATGTATATATGTATATAACTACGGTTCTACAAAATAGATCAAAAACCCTGGAGTGTCCAAGTCCCTGGTTTTGTGTGTGCCCCTTGCAAGCCGATCTCAAATGTGAATTAAGGGCAACATCGGAGACAGACAAATCGATTACAGGGTAATGTTGAGTACTCCCTAACCAGATCACTTGGCTTACAACCAGCACACACACACACACACGTAAGTCAGTTGGAAGTAGTTAATGGTATATGCCACGGGCGTCGAGCCAATAAATACCTCTTGGATACCGCGGATGACTGTTGCCATGCCTAGGATGACGAGTCTCCTTGACCATCTCTACAACATTAGATACGGTATCGGAGAACCCGATATCATGATGTATGTATTGATGGCCACGCCGTCGAGGACTCGGAGATCTGGCCAGTGGAGAGCCGTTGTGCCTGCAGAAGGGATGGAACATTAGTAATTAATATGGAAATCAACTAATCCACTTGGCAGCGTCCTTACCTCAAGCTAGGCGAACGCCGATGGCCATTCATGTACGAATGTCCAGGATGTAGATGGCCAGCATCGGCACCGGTAAGCGACTCCTGCGAGGGGTGTCTCGATGCGTCCTGCAGCTCCAGCATCTAGTTGGAAGATGAGTGTGGAACGTTTTAGTAAGCCAACTGGGGCACCATGAATGCTACCACTCGAAATCAGTCCAAAAAGATTGAGAAGTAGTTTTGGGGTTCGGAGTTCGGAGTTCGGGGTTTGGGGCTCGGAGTAAGCAGGTGGGTGGTTTCGATTGGGGGAACACTTCCAGATGGTCGAATCGATTCTAATTTGCACAGCATTTCTAAGTTTTCATATTTTTGGACTCCTCTAGACCGATTTCTTGTGGATTCATTCATTGCAAGGATACGTAAATTTAGGTATACGATATCTGTGTATTTATAAATTTAGAACTATAGTTTTCCAATGCCCCGTAATGGAGCGTTGGCAATAGATATGTATATATGCTTGTACTTGTATATAATGCTACAAAATAAATATACATAGAGACATGTATGCTTACTTTGCGGAGTATAGTATTATAGTATTAGGGGTTATACGGTATATAAAAGTAAACAAAAGCAATCATTACTCCACTGCAACAAAATACATATTCAAATGCGTTTTAATTGTACTAGTTTGTATAGAAAGGTTCTGAAATGCGGGATTATGTTGGTTGGTATTTGAAGGTTAACCTATTTTAGGGCATGTAACATTTAAGGAATTCCATACACTACTCGGGAGTATACATATACATATATATACTTGGTCACTTTCTCTAGATAATTGGTTTTGGGTTCTTTTATAATCGACTGGATGTCCTCTCATACTTGAGGTTTTTCTGAAAATGATATGACTGCCATATTGCGTTTCTTGTTACGCCAATTGTTTAACATTCGACTGCATCTACGTTATTGGTTTTTGTTTATTGTCCTATATTTACGGTGATATGATGTAGTACAAAAGAAGTGAAACGCAAAATACGAAGGAACAGCAAGTATCAATCGATCTTTGCATCTGGAAAGTGAAGATCTAGCCAGATTTTCTCTACACGATATATCTACAGTACTAAAAGGATTGCTAATCATGCAAGTGATCGTGTTTATAGCGGCTAGTTGATAAAGCAGTGATATAATCTTAGGAATAACAAGGCGGAACATTGAAAGCTAGGCAATATGTAACTATAGGCATGCACTACTTAGTCAAAATTCTTTGGATAAATGTGTGGTGTGATGGTGGGTAATGGGTGTTGGTCAGGTCCTGAGTCCTTTTCCAATTGCTCCTTTTTGGGCCGTGGAAAGAGCAGCTGCATCAAACTTACTTACCGTTCACAAACCGTTTCGCATTCGTGATTGGACTGACGAATAACATTCAAATACCAAAACTGTATACTTATTACATTCAAATCGAATTCGAAAACAATTACTACCTACACATAAAGCCGCCTTCATATGTGTAACTAGAGGGAAAACTCGCTAGAAATCAAGAATCCACTGGGCGAATGGGAGATCTTCGCCTCGCCTTAAGTCTAAACCATTACAATGCAAGTTACAATTTGTGTGCTAAGTGGCTGGCTTTAGCTCTAAGAGAAAAAGCCATTCTCTAGTTAAGTACATAGTGTTTGAGTTGCCCTAAGAGTGACTACAAATTAACCTCCGGTTAAGCGTTATTAAGCGTTATCTCCTGGTAAGTTCACCTGCGAATTGAAACCACCGCTTGGCTTTATGTGTACGTAGAAAAGTCTATCAGGTCATTTCCGGATCTCACTTCCAATGGCCGACCGGAAGTCGGTTCATTGAACGTGACAACCACAAGTGACGTGATAATCCTGTCTGATGGAACCCAAGATTATCGGACTTTGCCCAAGAGGCTGTGAGTGGGAACAGAGTTAGAACCGCCAACTTATTCCACATGGCTGGCACGCCGGATGCGAATTGGAATCTTTGAATTGTTCATTGGTAATGTGGCAGACTTGATCTGTGAGTAGGAAATTCGCAGTTTCTGGTGTAGAATGGAGGTGTCTCGATATGTCTAGGTCGCAATTGTACTGGGAATTGGTGATTAATCATACATTGCCGGCATGTTGTACGTGAAAACCAAAGGTGTGACTGCACTTGCCTATGCTTACACTATTTTCCTAAAGGACCTGGCAAACCAGTCGGTGAAACGCGGTCTCACACTCATTGGAATTGGGAAAAACGACTGCAAGTCCGCTTTTTGAAACTACAAGTCAACTAAGCCGGCTTAGATCAAAGAGGCCCGTGTTGTCCACTCAACTTGGTGAAAGAATTAAACTACTTAATGACTGACCACAACCTAAGATTTATCAGAAGCGTGAGATTTCATTGATGAAATAGGGTTTTCTGTGCATTTTCAGAACTGAAAGGTGGGATCAGACGGCCAAATCGGACTGCGATTTACTGGGCTTGAGTGGAGCTTTGCCAGAGCCTTTCGGTTTGCTGTGCGTTGCCACTGTTAACTGCTCAACTTGTCCAAGAACCAACGAACCAAGGAATGCCTAAGTACATGGGAGTACACTTAGTGGTTATAGAAACGATCAAATTACAACATTGAGTACGAGTACGAGTACTAAGCCAAGTTTTGCGTTTCTAATGTTTGTTGTTAAATTGCTATGCAACATTTAGGTACGAGTATGTATTGCACTATTGAGTAAACGCAAATTAAAGATTTATAGTAGGTTGAATACGCAGTACACACATGTGCGCCTGTATATATGATGTATGTATGTATTTATATATTCATATTTATGCACGTGGAGCTGAGCTGAGCACCCCGCAATATCTGGCATATTATATATTCATATTGTACATAGTCATAGATACGTCGTACATGGGCGCGTACAGCTATACATATACTTATGAGTGAGTATGTATGTATTTAAAGGTACTAGTTGATTACTTGACTTAATCGGTTTGTGAACAACATTTATATCGGAAACGGAGTATGGACACAAAGAGTATTCACATAAATTTATATAATACACAATTAATTATTATTTTTGATTAGTAAAATTTGTTGATAATTTCATTTTGGTTTACCGCTTGGAGTTTATCAAACTTATTCACCTTTTTGTTTCTGAAATATTTAAAAATTAGAAGAAAACAATTTACTTATGTCAATGTTGAAGAATGCACAAAGGCACAAAGATCTTGAGTTAGTTGCTAATAGTGTTGGTAAGTGTTGTTGTTAGTAGTAGTAGTTGTATTGCGATAGTGTTGTGAAGCGAAAGTTATCTTATGCATGTACATATGTATGTTGAATGTATGCTGTGGTCCTTCACGATCAGCGAGATCACTTATCACTCGACTTATCTTCGAGGGAAGATATGAAGATTAGATCTGAATTTCGAAGAGCTGCTTTCCAATCTTTGGGAAAAAGTTAAAGACTCGATCTCTTACTTCTAGTTGGGGCTTGCAAGCCAAGCAGCTGTTGGAATGTTGTAAGTGATTACACGCATTTAAGATCCTATAAGATATAGAAAATGCTCTACGGCAGTGCTCGTTGACTTGTTCGTTTAGCTGGGAAAGGAAGTTACAGCTGAAGATATTATAGCATACTTTTTGCGCAAAGCGGAATAGATATTCCGGGAACGAGGTCAGAGCATAGAGCCATGTATATAAAGTACTATCGAGTAAGGAAGACCACTCGTCTGGTTTTGTGGATGATGCTGATCGAATGAATGGACGCAAATGGTAATAATGGCAATGGCGATGGCGATGGTTATGATTCTTTGCACTTTACGGACTATGTTAAGATTGAAGCTGGTTAAATTACCTAACTGATCGCTTTCTGATCGTACTCCGCCGTGCTAGTGTTGCCAAACTGTTGTGTTCGGCATCACCGTTTGCGTGGTGGTGGTGCGTGCTGGCTAACAAATGTGTTTGTGAGTTGGCGGCTCCTTCCCCATTCGGCTCGAAACTTATGGAGCCCTGTCGCGATCCTCCTTTGTCAAGGGCGGCCATATCGAGGAGGCAGTTAAAGAATGATTGTTTCTACGGATTTTGCGATTTTGAGATTTTTCGGTTTTTGATTGGCAGTTGATTCGGTAGACAGGAAAGTGCAGTGGTTTTGATTTATAGTTTTAATTGCCATTCCGTTCCGTTTTGGTATTAGTTTGAGTTCAAGTTTGAGTTTTTGGTTTCGTTCGTTGTAGTTCGTTTTCATGAATATTTTTCGTGTATTTTGTTTATATATATTTTTTTAGTTGTAGAAATACAGATTTCAGATAGTGTTGCATATTTAATTCAATTAAATTGTTGTTTATTGTAGACACAGTTGTGGTTAAAGTTGGGTGATTGGTGAATATTTGATGTAGTAACATTGCAACGCATTGGGATTGGTTTTGATTTTGTTTTTGTTTTGGTTTTTGTTTGGTTTTTGTTTTTTGTATAAGCATTGAAAATGGAATGTAAGAATTATTATAGAGTAATTAAAAAGTATAAGTAGATTACAGAACACAAATGATAATCAAAAGTATCGTTATTATCGCATATATGTATGTACATATGCATAGTATATATTGGTTTATACATATGTACGATTGTTAATAATGGGGCAATAGCCCCTGCTTAATATCTTTACATTGAGGTATGGTAGTATATAGCATTTCGAGATGTGTCAAGCTCTATTCGGATTGTGTCGGTATTATGTGGGTTGGTTTAGAGGAGGCAATGTATAAGAGATGCTTTCGCTTAAGATTTCATAAATAGCTTAAAAGAGAGGCTTGCTTAATATGGTAAAAGCATGCGCAAACATTTTTACAACTCACTATGATTTAAAGAAAATCTAAGAGGTACCGCTATGAGACAAAATTGTTACGATTGTTTTTAATATTGTTATTATTATTATGTGCCAATTTAGAGAAATGGTCAACCAAACAAGTGATTACGAGATTTATTAAAGTTTTGTCTATGAATAAGAAATGAATAAACCACCTTGTGGAAAATAAAAATATAACTTATACTTGTATGGCATGTAATACCAAATTAGTAATAATCTTACATGCCCATATGACATTGGACCTACATTTTATAGAAGAAATCTTTTATTTTTCATACACAAGTAATAAACAATTTTATTTAGCCCTTTGATTAACATATTTGAGTACTTTGCCATTATCTATTTCTGGTCTCATGTCATATAGGCATATTAGCATACAAAAATTTGACCGATTTCATTCTTCCATGCTTTTGTTTATTCATTTTTTAATTAGTGTCTTAAATTGATGCGATCGCTTGGTTACCTTAAGCATGCCTATTCAGCAGAAAAGATTACAAGAAATTCAGTGGCAATTCGACTTGTAAATGAAAATATTAAATATAGGACATATGCCTGATACTATCACAAATGGCCTAGTTCATATGAAGAATGGTTCCATTGAATCCACGTGTCTTTGATCTAATCAAATTCCAATATGTACAGATATTCTAGAGTTCATTGTATCAAAGGTTAAGTATATATATATTTGATCGGTATATTAAAACTCGGTATAGACTTGCGTTTGAGTGCAACAGTCCGATTCATACTTAAAAACAGTGCTTTACTTTTGTAAAGTGTACAATAAACTAAAGGACAATTACTTCAAATGCATCAACACACAAGGACTTAGACGTTCCACAATGTAAAAATAATTATTAATGTCGTACAGCCCTACAGAATTATGTTTTCATCATAATCTGGACCAAAGACTATTATAAGCTTCAATTTGTTCCGAATTTCTTCATTTCAAAACGAATTTCGCCATTTATGTATCGATTTTTCCTATATGAAAATAATATTTATAGTCCTTCGCTCAAAGAAAAATTCCTCAGCTGCCATTGTGTTTGAAAATCGTTTGAAAACAGGCTCCAGAGGACGAAGGACTTCCATCTTCACTTGCGCCATTCCAGCTCTAAGAGATAGGCCTAAAAACAAAGCTTTTGCCAGGACCTCGGAGGGTCCTTTGGGGTATTTAAAAGCAGGCAACCTATGTCAGACCACGGGGAATTATCCCTGCAAAGTGCACACTCTTCTATGGCTATTCAGTGTGATTGACTAGTGGGTGTGTTAAGCGAAACATGACCATGGCATTGCAGTTGGGTGTTCATCTACAGCTGGAGTATTATATAGGATATAGTGTGTTTTCGTACTGGTTTTTGGTTTTTGGTTTTGGTATTTGATAATTGGTTGCACAGTTTTTGATTTCTTTAGTTATATGATGGGTAGGCAGGCTTATGCTGGTTTCCTAGTGATATTATTGCTCTTAGGCGAGTATGCAAAACATGCCTCTAGCCGAGAATGGTGAAACAGTTGGTTGTACAAAAGTAGTAGACGCAAAACATGTGGAAGAGGAGGAGCTCATATTTAAAAGGCGAAAGTAAAACCAAGCGAAAGATAGATAGGTATATATATGGAAATATATTATATACCGGCTCCTCGACTGCCGTTGGGCTATATTTATGCTCATCGTCGTGCTCCAGCTTCTTCCGCTATCATAGACCATCGATGTAATTTACATATTACATCGTCCAATTTTCATTTACGTTCAGTGAACATCGAGCAAATGTCAATTACGGATTTTTTAAGTTTCAATTTTGAGTTGTCAATTGATCGTTTGTGTGTTGTGCACAAAAACAGGATAACAGATAAAACATTTTAATTAATTATTTCAATACGAGTGTGTTTATCCCACATGGATCCGCTTTTTCGCTAATTTTATACAATCAAGTACATTGCTCACAATTTATTATAAAAGCGAACCCGAAAGTGGTAAGATTTAGAGATATGGTGGATGTATGATAATATTCCTTGACCTTTTTAGTGGTCCCACTAGAAGTACGACTAATTTTGCAGATATTAAATGATTCCGGATCTTCTCTTGTGTGGGCGTTGTGTAAAAACAATGGCAAACCTCTAGAAATATCTAAGTATCAATACATAAAGTTTCGTGTAACGCACAACTTAACTCTGTTTTTTTAATGGTCGTGTCTACTTAGAACGAACATACAATCGCAAATTGGAGAATCAAAATACGAACTTCTCAACTCTACCGATATATATGTAGGTATATATTTTTGAGTAAGTAGTTACTTAAAGATACTCGACTTCTACTGAACGGTGTTCCATTGCTCATTATACGAGTTAAGTTTAACCGTCATCCCTATTGGGCTGCAATACTTTCTGCTCCCGATTTAGAAACGATTTATTTTGATACCGATTTCGATCGATAGGGAGAAAAATATGCATCCCATACAGCGGCAGATCCAAGAGATCTAATTGTAATCGAAATATAAGGATGTCATTATAATTTTGCAGTTTTCCTATGGATCCGCCCCTGTGGTTCCACATGACTGCCCGTGGATAATTTCAAATTTCGACATATAATATAAATTATATAGTATTTGGGATCGGATCTGATCGGGCCTGATTAAGCCAATTATGGGCAGCTGCGTGTGCACATACTTTATAATATACTTTACAGTATATGCACGCAACTATGTGGTTATATAAATGCGATTGTGTATTTCTAAGTTTCGTGTATTGGTTTCACATACAAACGGGCATGTATGTGCGCAATATATAGGGTATTGTATATACAAATGTGATAAACATGAGGTTGCATATAAAATTAATTATATACCTCCTTCCAGTTCTGCATATTTTTCATTATTTCGTTTAATTTGTTAACGTTTTTGTTTTTTTTTAATTTTAATTGTTGTTTTCAATTAAAGAGTTCATATTCAGTCGTATGAGAAGAGAAATCATAATAGCACATATTTATTCCATGTTATATAGATTTTATAGAATATTTTGTAGTTGGTGTCGTTTAGTTTCAAAATGTATATTGTTTGTGGTACAGAAGAAATTGTATTTAAACTTGTTCTTAAGCGGAAAGATCGCCCCAAATATGTTTAATAACTCTGAAGTCAAGGAGCTCAAAATACATAACTCTATAGTAAAATTATTTAATAATGCCTTATTTTTGTATTTGTTTATGTAGTTCGATTCTGTGTTATATACATAGCGTTTTCGAGGATAAGATTTTCCCGCATTAAATGCGGATTATAAAACCTTTTATTCCCAATAAAGTGTATTTTAAACAGCTTAAGCCGAAAAAGCCTGTAACACTTGAGTATGTATTTTTGAAAAATATATGTATGTACATAGCTTAAGAAAGTTGAAAGTTGTGACGCTATTTTGTAATCAGGGCTATTTTGTTTAAAGTGCAACATGAACTTAAAGTGCTTTGAGTTTCCAAAAGGCTGATAGATCGATAGTAGACTTACATAAAACCCTAATTCTGGAGGACATTGGCTAAATGTAAGCTTGGACTTATCTGCCTAGGTTTACTGATGCCTAAAGATGCCTAACGGGTCGAACCTTAAGTGGGTACCATAGAACTGAGTAGTATCTTGACTGGCTGAGTCAGTCCAGGTGGACAGGTGGACAGGTGGTCTGACCACCGGTTAGCGACTCATCTGCGACTCTACGCAACTGGAGTTGTGCGGCAGTTTGTGTTAAAGGGCTGGGTGGATGGGTTTCTTGAGTGGCTTACCGGCATTCCCGAATCAAGTTGGCCGAACCGCGTGCTGCGCCAGGACTCCAGGATGAGGAAACCTGCATAGATTTTACCCACGGACAGTTTGCCCTTGTTGAGCTGGTCGCTGGGCGGCACCAGCAGGTTCAGCATCTTCTTCGCCTGCAATGGCCAGATGTTCGTGATGGTCTCCCGCAGTTCCATGTCCGCCTGGTCCATTTCCTCAGCTGGTCGGATGGTGGGATAGTTGGGATTAGTATGCAAATCATGAGCTTTTATATTACACAAAGTATTGAATCTAACAATTTAATTGCATAATTGATATACTGCTAATTATGGATTAAAATACATACGCGCTCTCATTTTGATGCTGAGATTCTCGCGAATCAAAGCGAACAACGTTGTGGTGAACTGAACTCTCAATTCATCGTCCAATGGCATATTCATTCTAATCAGTTTCTTGTAGGCCAGTCGGTTGGGACACTTGTTGCCAAAACCCAACGGTGGATCCATATTCTTCAGCATGTCGTACATTTCCGTGTAGTGTATTTTTCCACTATTTGTCCGGGGAACACAACAAGAGTTAGATGCTTAGTTGGTTAGTACCTCATCTCGGAGAACTTGTTCCGAAACAAAGATCATGTCTATAATCTACAGTCGAGTGTGTTCACCCGGCACTCACATATCATTGCTATTCGCGAAATGTGAATGCCGGGCATTAACAGTGTAATTGGGTTTGAATCTCACACCGGTTTATCTCATGCGAGGAAAAAAGTAAAGGAAAATTAAGTACTCGACATGGCTACTACCCATCCTTCGTCAATTTCCTGTCGTTAGATAGGACTTAAGCTCAACTTGTGCACAAAGCGGCTCGGGAGCGATGTCAACCAACGAGTATGAGTCAAATACGACCAAATAATAATCGTTTAATATAGAAAGGCGGCCGAACTTCTCTTGCTCGAATGACAGAAATAGAGGAAAATCAAGGCGAAATCATAGAAGAACTTAAAATCAGATTCGAGTGGGAATTGGTGGCATGTGGTGGTGGTGGTGGCAGTGGTGGTGGTGGTGGTGATTATATTAAACAGATAATTACGTCGCATTTGGATCATATTCCGCCCATATGCGCACAAATTCGTCTAAGTGATGGGCACCCAGTATGCTGGAGTCCCTGGTGAGATAATCGAAATTATCCATGATGACGGCGACGAACAGGTTCAGCATCAGGAAGGAGCAGAAGAATATAAACGATACGAAGTAGGCGTAGGCCAGTGTGGATCCGCAGTACTCCCCAGGTTCCTTCTCGGCGTCATCGTCGCAGGCCTTGCCCTTCAAACATGCCAGCATTATGTTGGGCCAGGCCTCGCCAGTTGCACACCTGTGTGGCGTCCAGTTTCATATGCAATATACAACAGTGTTAATTAGTGCGCCAATCGGGCCCAGAGTTACGGCTCTACAGGTGTGATTGGTCGGTACGAGAATGCACTGGATATGGGCATGGGTAATATGGCTAGTATGGGTAGTATGGGTAGTATGGGCAATATGGCTCGGTTGGCAACTACTGACCAAGTTCTAGGTATTTACAGATAGCTGGTGTTCAAGTGTATATACATACGGGGGGACGGCGGGTGTATTTCGGGAACTGAACGATGTTATAGGTATAAAGCTTACTCTATGTACGAGTATGATTACGAGGTATACATATGCACTCTCTTCAAGTTCTAGTTTCTATCAAACCTAACTATCTACGAACGATGGACACATATCGCTATGTATCTCAGGGATCGCAATGATACTCTCACAATTTACGGTTCGCGAGAGCCCTGAAATATATTGCTTTCTCATAGCTATTCTATATAGTTACCAGTAAATTATTATTAAGCTTATCAATTCTCAGTAACACATTAAATATATATGCTCTAAAGTTAGGCCATTGAGTAATATGAAAAACAAAAACAATTTGGAATCGGTATGATTTTCTAAACTCTGACTCTGGTTACATGTCAGAATTGCTAGGACTATGTATTCGCTGTATACACTATAAGATTGATTTACATACAGACTAAGCTACGATTTAAAATTAATTACGATTGGCACTAGTAGCGGAGTTTCCGGACAAACGGATATTTATGCCAATGGGAGTTACGGTTTTTATTCATACAGACTTTTCATACCTAGAGTTATGGTGTCAATAAGTTAGATGTGTAGCTGGTAAGATGGTATATGATGATATGAATTTCGTACAGACATATTTCAATCGAGAGTTCTATTAACTTTGCTATCGGTATATTTATGTAGATATAGAGAAATATAATTGGGATGGGCAGATCGTTTTGCGTCGTACAAGTATATAACAGCTATATATGTATGTATGTTTATATAAGTAGCTATAACGTAAATTACCAGCAATACTGTAAAACTATGGAACTTTCATTTAAATCTCAAATGATTAACTGCAACAACGAAAAGTGCAAACTTTGAAAAATCAAGCTGCGCTCAAATGTAGTAATTTTAGAATATAATATATGCAGCTCTACAGGTTTGTAAATACATAGATATTACATATATGTATACGTATATTCCAGTTTTGTTGAATCAGTGTCACAACTCTAGAACTCAATCTACTTACACAGGTATCAAAAAACTTGAATTGTTGTTACGCAAAACGAATGTATGTAATGAAATAGGTTCGAGATCTGAGTGGTCTTATATTGTAGTTATGGATTTACCACCGTTTATAGGGTTGTCACAAGTCCGATTTACTCCGCGATCAGCTTGGAGAACCTCGAAAAAGTTATACTTCATCGTACTAGAAACCAATAAGGGTTACATAAGTATATGCTAAACGAGTCGTTCTAAAATCTAGATTTTCTATATGACTTCGAGGTAAATGGGCTAGTAGTTTGAAATTGTTTTGGGAGAATCCGATAAAGAGCTAGAATTTGAAGAATATCCCATTAAGGCTACGAATGTCTACATATGTCTAACTCACACATATCGTTGTTGCTAGGTTTAGTCACTTTGAAGGTGCTAACCACCTTTTCGAGGACCCTATCGCTAGTCTATGGACGTACTATTTAGTTATAAGATATGTAAGATCGCGACTGGAACGGATATCTATCAATGCGAACATATGGATAGTGGTAAAGTTAAATTACGCTAACTTGTATTATATGTATAACTATTAACTTAATTACTGAGAGTCGAAACTTTTTGTTGGGTTATAACAAATGACTGGAGAGATCTAGGAGTTACGTACCTGAATAGCAACATGACGCCTTGAACAAATGTTCGGAAGTTGTTGTGTCTAGTAATGGAATTTTCCACTGTACCTAGTTTGATATTCCCGAACACCTATTCACGATTCAAATATCGGTAAAGAATGCATTGATTATTGGTTCATTTTTTGTTTAGTAACTGAAATGGTTAAGTTATATTCGTTATACACATACACAGATTCTGATTCAGATTCAGACTCGTCTCCACCTCAATTATATTCAATATGCTGTCTCCACAATGCTGTCTCTACTACCAACATAAAAACCCGCGAATCCTGACCAAAAAACGGCAAATCCGTAACCATGTGTGAGTGATTCAGGACGATCAGGACTACAATGTGTGCCCGCTTCCCCCGATTTGCAAAGTCGATGTGGATGTGTGGGTGTGTTTGAGTGGATAGTTTGGGAATTGAGTTGCATATCAACATTGGAACGGGAAACACTTATGTCATTTACTCAGCAGCTCACGAATCCAGCAAATATTATCAAGTTTCCGTAATTAACAAGCTTACTAAACGAGTAACCGAATTTATAAATTATACTTATAGTGGTGCTATATACTGTTTCCCACAAATACACAAAATGATGATACTTGCAAACAATAATCACTTCTGCTGCCATCCACAAAGAAAAGCAGTTCTTTAAATGTTTTACATCCTGCATTTGGCAATTATACTATTTACTATTTTATGCAATTTACTTTACAGTTAATAAGTTAACTCTCTTTTTAAGCTGTATATTTTTTACAAGAATTAAGGTAAGGCTTCCGAACAGGACTATTATTCAATATATCAATATATTTATACGGTAAGAAAAATCTGCGACTCTTTGAAGCAAAACTACAAAACAATTGAATATTACACTGCTATTATTATGAATCTCTTAGTGTTTGATTGATTTCGTATGCCAACTCGATTCGATTTGGGAAATTGGGAAAGTTTTTAGCTCTTCAGATGCACGACTGGCATCTTTGCAAACACACAAATATCAAAATGGAACATAACTTCATTAACTAGCGCATCTATGTACAACATTAAAATAAAGTGTGCTATAGAAAAGCGACATTCACATTCGATTAGTGATAGAAACGAGTTCGGGATAAAGGAAAGGTATAAAAATCAAAGCTACCAATGGCATACGAATATGTAGCTCGATTCAAAGTCACAAATCTCAACTGCAACTGCAAACAATACGGATCAAACAACTTTTAAACGCATTAACTGTATCCACGATTAGTAGCGAATATGCATAAGCTTTTAGGTTTTGTTTTTATTCAAACAGACTATGGATTGATGGTTATAGTTTGGTATTTAGATTATGAAAAGTTGAGCACAGCCACAGCGGATGGATGCCCTCTAGTAAATTTACACCGACCGAGTCCACCACAATCGCAGGATTATTTGATTATTTCGATTATGGCTCGACATATGACTACGTATTGATGTTGAGTAGAGTAATAGGGTATATAGGTGACTGTGGTGCCTTTATCAGTTTGGGTAATCGCTATTGAGTTACTATTGCTAACTAGGTTACAGTTCTCGTTTACCGAAAGAGCAGCATGATTCCACCGGAGAACGACTGGAAGTTATTGTGGCGGTTGAGTTGCGTGTCCGGATCATATTTAATGTTGCCGAAAACCTTTTGGTTTGATGTAAACATTATAATTGAATTGAATAGGCATTCGTGTATTTGTGTTATTTACGTTAAACAAAACCAATATCCTCGTTTTTTGTTTTTCTCTATTCTAGTGAGCTATTTGAAAAGTTAGTAATGCAAAACCAAACAAGAAAACTAGTTACTTAAGCTACGTGATATTTATTTGTAGATCACCCGAATGTTCAACCCCAAAAAGCATTTGACAGTGGAGAATGCCTATTTAACCCTAGCTAAAAACAAATCCACCTGTGTTTATTGTTAATGTTTTTCGGAAATCAGTGTTTCCGGACTTATTTCGACTTACCTGCATGCCGATAATGGCGTATATGAAAAATAGCATGGCTATAAGCAAACAGACATAGGGAAGTGCCTTAAAGGATTGCACAAATGTCCACAGTAGAATTCGAATCGTGTATCCTTGACGAAGTAATTTGATAAGTCGCGCCGCTCGAAACAAACGCAGGAAGCCGACGTTGATTGAGTTCGACTGTAAAATATTATTGGCCAAAGGAAGACAGTCGAAGAGACAAACAAACAAATAAAAAACGAGAGGGAGAGAAAACAGAACGGATAAGGAAATTGGCATTAGACTGGTTTCAAGTTCCCATCATTACAGTGCGAATTCCGTTGAGCTTGGCTCACGGAATCCAGGGAACTCGGGAAACTCGGGGAACTCAAGGATCTAGAAGGCGTCGCCATCGATCTACGTGATTCGATGCATTTCAATCTAAGCTATCGATTGGTAGTAGTAAGCAGTAGGTACTATGTAGTAGGTAGTAGGTAGTTAGTAGCTCGTTCCGTTAGTAGCAGTAGGTAGTAGGTAGTAAGTAGTTAGTAAGAGTAGGTTGTATTAGGTGAAGTGCAGTAGTATGTTTCAGTTGGTAGTAAGTATTAGGTAGAGAGTTACATACATAGTGGCAGTGGTTTCATTGGTTAATTGTACGTTACGATCAAAGTAGTAATTGAAGCTATTTTAGTAAGTGGTTTGCTCTATCACAAATGGAACAGAAATGAAACCAAGGCAAAGACAAACAATACAATTTGAGTTTACCGATAGTATGTCTATATAGAGGTCGAATGCTAAACAAAAAATCGTCTTTTAAACCATTTGTACAGCAATTGAAATATACAAATTCGGAAAGTTTTTATCTCGCCAAAAAATTGATCAGCAAAAAGAAGAGTAATCTATTTAGTTGGTAGTTTGTGCGTAAGTGTCAGTGTAAGTGATTTTCGGATTCAGTGTTTTGTGTTTAGGTTATCACCCAAAAATAGTGATTTGTGCGTGGGCATTTGCCAAATACTAATTAACAAACTGTACGGAGTAGAAAAAATTACACATATTTGTTTGTTCGTCTAAGGAAGAAATTTGGAAAAGCGATGTTTGTGCGTGGGTAATTCAACATTTTATTTTTTGTTTTTTTTTCGTCTAATCTAATATCGTCCCAAGGTAAAAGTGGAACATGCGAGGCGTGTTCTACATACGTAAATTGAATTTGAAATGGGCCTAGGCTGGCGAAAAACCAATTGGACAGTACAACAGTTAGGTAAGTTATGTACAATGAAATTCTCCATTCGTGAAGAGAGTGAACGTGGCAGTACTAGTTGCTTGTACACGTTGGGTTTGATTTTTGTAAAACTGTATGGTCGAAATCGACGGGGCTTTGGCCAAAATATTTTACGCATCAGCTGTTGAAGTCGTCGCATGGGCGGATGCAAACCAGGGTTGCAGTTAACCCGGTTTGCGTCCGATCATGCGCGATGTGAATGTGGTATTATGTGCCTGTTAAATTTTAATCGACACATCAACCGCTGATTTATGGACGCATACCGCCTCACCGTGGGATCTGCATTGATAAATCGCACTCGACTCGGCGCTGTAGAACATGGAATTATTTATATGTATATACATACATATATATATATGTATACTATTGGTAATTATATTAATATTGCGTATGTACACTGAAACAAACAAAGTTGAATTCAATACCGAACGGCACTGCTAACTCTGGGCAGTCCTGAAAACGCGGTCAATTGTTATCATTATTATACTAAAGGCTAATCTCCTTTGGATCAATTCAGGCCAATTTCGGGATTACCCTATTGCCAATCCCGTTCGGATGTGAATTTCGTGTGAGTACTTAGCTAATGAGTTTGCATATACTTAAAGTTAAAGAGTGTGTATATAGACTACGGAGTCTAGAGCGGATGAGGGATATTAGTTGGAGATTAGTTAGATGTAGCGAGTGGTGACACTACAGTGTCCTCGTTGCATGTTGCAAAGTCATTGGTGTGGGTTGCGTGATCAAAAATGAAAGAGAATCTAACGTCGCAGTGTACGATTCCAATTCCTCGATCGAGAGTTATATACACGGGATATAGAATGGCATGAAAGCTAAGCAGTGAGGCTATATCACTACCTGTGATTCTGCACTCGTCTATATACTAGTTAGAATAGCTCTGCGGGTTATGCGGGATACAGATTTAGATATAGACAGAGATTAAAAGAGAGGAGACAGTTCAATTAAGAATAATTCCACGTTGTTGTTCCTTGGGAAACTTGGGACGACGCACTTAAAAGTAACTTGGATGGACTAATCTAATCCAAAAATCGAAAATCAGGGATGCGGGTAAGTACATACATACACAGCCCTGGCTAGAGTCTGATACGCTGATTTATATATATGTAAATATATATAAAGGTATATATGTGGTTAACTAGCTAGGAGTAATTACGTAGAGAGTGGGCGAACAAATAAAAGAAAGTTGAACTTGAATCTACGGATGATTCATCGATGCGATCTACTCGTATATAAAGAGTTTAAGTTCAAAATGGAAATTACGATTCGTGGTAAACATTCTGGTTGAAGTTAAGGTTAGCTAATTTGCTAATTAGACAAAAGAATTTTGTAGAGTGTTGTGTTGTGGTTTGTGTTATATTGTATTTTTTGTCATCGTTGATGTTGGAGTTTTGGTTTGTTTTGAAAGTAGAAAGCTTGTTAGGATAGATTTGTTTACTTACATCCTGTTAGTCAGAAACCATTTTCAATTGAAATTTTGGATTTGTTTTGAGACAAATCAATGTGCACAGAACTCATAAACCGCACAAGAAACGATTCGTATATATATTTGAATATATATGTATATATACATATATATATGTATATTTTTTGACGACTCAGGCAATTGTTCAATCATTGTTGTAGTTGTTGTTGTTAGTTGTAGTAGTAGTAGTGGTTGGTGTTGTTGAATTTATCATTCAGCAGTTTGCAATCGATTGCAATCAGATATTCAGATTTGTAGTTCAGATCGTTGCAATTTACAAGACGAATAGCAACAGGGAAATGTTTATGATAGTTTTTTGCATTCAATTGGTTTCGTTTTTATTTTTGTGGTTTTTTTTTCAGTGCAGTTAATATATACTCAGACGTTTGACGATCGATCAATCACAGGTCAAACGAAATGCGTTGGGCGGCGTTCAATTTGTTGATTTTCGTAATGGTTTTAACACAGTTTTTGTGATTTTTTCGTTTCGTTTCGATTCGTTTTTTTTTTTGTTTTTTTTTTTTTTTTGAAAAATACAGAAAACAAATAAAGTAGAGTTGAAAATTAGTAGGACAAGTTTTCTGCAGTTTCTAGCAGGTATACAAAGATAGATCAAGATCAATATCAGTAAGCAGAGAGTTTTCTATGTTGTTGTGTGTATAATCTGTATGTTATTGTTCTGGTGTCTCGATTGTTTTCTAATTCATTTGATTGGGGAATTCACAGCTTAGCAAGGGTCTAAAGTTCGATATGTTTCTATTCACGCAGTTAGGCTTAGCTATGCTAGGCATTTGTTTTATATTCACTTCTACAAGGGCTGTTATTTTATTTATTAATCGAAAAGTAAGTAATGAAAACAGATGGGAGAGAGATACAGGAAGGTTTGATAGATGAAATTAATTACGAAAACCGAAAGTTTTTGTTTTTGTTTGGTACCTCTCTTATCCTGTAGTGGAACAACCAAGGCAAGCAACTATAACCACACATTTCAGCATTGGAAACTTCTTAAGCATTTAAAAGAATTGGGGTTGCGTGTTTAGTAAGCGGAAGCCAAAAAGTTATTGGATAGAAAAACTCCGAGTGAATTGAACGATCAAAACCGCAAATGTGTGAGTGACTCGAGTTAATGGTTATATCAGAATTTGTATCTGAAGGTGCAAAATGTGAGTGGAACATGCAGGAGATGTAACGAAAGCTAATCCAAGCCCCTACTAAAAAGTTGCAGTCATGGCGGTGAAAGATGTGAGCATAGCAAAACTGAATGTGGCGGTGTTAAAAAGAATTGTTTTAGGGCGCCTTAATTTACTTTTCTTATTTTTCGTTCTTTTTGAGGCGGGAGTAATCATATCTGGAAGCCATCCTGTGACTTATGATAGTGAGAAACTACTGGCTGAGCCTGCGAAAACATTACCCAGAGAGAAAACTAGCAGGAGCAGGCGGAAAATGGGCTGGGGTTCGCTCAATCAATCACAGACCATAAAAAAAAAATAAAAAAAAAAAAAAAAAAAAAAAAAAAAACTAAAACTTAAGACCAGACAGTAGTATTTGAAATCATGCTTTTGAAGAGTCAAATTTACGATTGGTTCAAGATCAACAGAATTCGATAGACGTACTATATGTTAAAAGTTAATCCAGTCTCGAGCCTTTTTTTTATGTAAGTACCTCTTTGGTTGGCCTCAATGCAATTTACTCGCTGACTTCGAATGCGACTACTTACAGTTACTGATCGACTGTTGGGCAGCTTAGAAAATACCTCATCCGATGCACAAGTTCGATGTGATAATGATGGCAATGATGCTGATTTTGATCTGGCTTTGGTTATATATCGGTTTATATATCGAATAGTTTCTCGAAGCATTATTCAATATCGGATATTCTCAGGTTAAAAGGGGTTTGCGTATATATTTTGTGTGCATGATTGGAAAGTATGAGTGAGCGTTACTCGCAACGAGTTTTGGGTTGTGTGTTCTGGATTGGTGACGAATGTCGTGAAATTGCAATATCGATTAAACCAAAGAAGTCCATGTGCACTGTTAACCAAACGGAAGCAAGTGGATCAAAACTCGAACAAAAGTTGCATAATACTTATGCAAATTGTAGGCACTTAAGATTCAACACAATCGGTTCAGCCAAACGTCTTACTATTGTAAGACTCGGGTATTACTAACTTATAAGCAGATTACAATAGCATCCGATCCTTTAGTTGCTCATAATCTCTGGGCTGTTTTGTTCAACAATTACACTGAAATTCTTTATGAACATACACATTAATACTAACTTGAACCATTTTATGGCGATTTATTTTGGAATTATGAGAGCCCTTTTAGATTCAAAATATGAGCAACAATAGTATCTTTAAGATGAAGCCGTTAATACTTATAAAAACTTTGATAGTTTTATTTAGAATGCTTATTTAAAGCCTATAGTACGTTTTTAGTTTGTTTAAAGCAAATTTTGCAAAGTCTTGAACTCGAGATTCTATACTCCCAAGGATTTGATAAGAAATAAATGCATGGGTCACCCTTTCGCTGTACATTCCACCATTATCTTACGCTTGACTATAAGCCTATATAAGCAACTTTTTACAGGAGACAGGAAAGACAGTTTATAGATAACCATAAAATACAGATAGATATAGTGACAGACAGAGAGACACAGTAGCAAGTACAAATCGCAATGTAGTGTGCTATGCAACAGAAAATTGGAATGCCAAATCGGAAACGGAAATGAAAATAGGAAATTTAAGCAAGATGGATTAACTAAGTTAAATAAGTATATATAGTGTCACACGGAAAAATTGAGCTAATCGTTGGTGAGTTAAGAACTAAAATGAAACTAGGTAGATGTTCTTAGGCGTAAAGAAAATGATAGAGAAGTTAGTAGAGTTAGAGGATCGTAATTAATAAGCTTTTCTTAAGGTGGAAGGCCATTACTTAGCGTTTTAAGCGTTTTAAGAATCTAAGTTCATCGATTGGTATTGAAATACACATTGAAAACTTTTTGGATAAATGCAAAATCAGTGTAGACAGTGTTTCGTACTTACATCGTGCTGCAGGTTGTGTCGTTTGGTTGTACATGTTGTAATCGATGTTCGGATGTAGTTGTTGTTGATGATGATATATAGAGATATAGCCACGTTCACACATACACGGACACCGGACACCGGTTACCGGACACCGGAAACCGGCCACATATGTGTGTGTGCACGTGCAAGGATGCGATTATGCATGTGTATATGTGCGTGCACGCGGTTGATTAACAGACACAGTAGCAGGACATACACATACACATGCATGGGATTGGATTTGATTCGATTTGTTCAGATGATTGATCATTTTGAATCGACATTGTTGATCGATTGTTTGATTAATTTGGTCGATTAATTCGATATGTTGATTGATTCGATTCGTTTGGGATTCCATTTCAGATTTCGATTGATTTCATTTGATTTATGTTCACATTTTGCATATAATAATCGTTTGAAATTGATACGTTCAGTGAGTTAATATATAAATATTTTGTTTTTTTTTCATATACAAATTCGGTGGTGATTTGGTGGCATTGGTGATTGTGGTAGTGGGTCAGTGGATCGGTGGATCAGTGGATCAGTGGTACAGTGGTTGGTGGTGGTTTTTGGTGATCGAGAGAGACATATATAGAGTTTGTTGCACATTCATTGCATTTGGTATTTGTAATTACATAGATGGTATTGTTGTTATTGGTTGTATTTGTTGTTGTTTGTGTTGAAGTCATTATTGTTTGAACGTTGATTGAATTCGATTTCAATTCATTTCCGATGTGGCCAATTGCAAAGGACATATATAAATTACATTATATATAGGATAATTGTACACCAGTGTATAGAGGTGGAGATTTGCGTGAGTTATATATATGAAATTACACATTTTTTTGAGATGTGTGCGTGGGTTTTTTTTTGGATTGTTGTCATTATTGTGTGGATATATATTTATATATATCATTGCGTGAGTGATTATTATATATTTTATGTAATTTATTTTTTTTTATTTGCATTCATCGAAACATATTTTTGGATTGATTCGGATTGGGTTTTCCCGATTTTGAAACCACATTTGGTTTTTGGTTTTCGTACATAAATAAATATGGAAAAGGAAATCAAAAAAGATATATGATTATTAATTTCTGTAATTTGTGATGTTTTGTTTCGTTGTTGTTTAATTTGGTTATACTGATTGTGTGTTTTCGATATTATATTCATAAAAACAACCAAATTAATTTAGGTATAGGTGTCTGAATGTAAAAGGATAATTGAAAAAACATGTTAAAACAGTGGGTGTAAACTGTACTGTCCTTGCCATCTGTGCATAGTGCCAAATCCTGACTGTTGCGCTGGATAAAAATATGACTTAATACTAAACGATAAAGGCCCGCAAAAAAGTGTATTAGATATATGGTTTAGAAGTCCGCAAAATCGGACGAACTCGGCTGATTCCCCCTTTAAAAGCAAATCGTTGGAGAGGTTTTCAAGAGCCAGATACAAAAGCTAATAACTCTTGAAAGATGCTAACTGGAGCCAACATTATTCATATTGTTACCCCTGATTATCTGAATGTTTTGAATGAAATAGTTTTTAGCAAAACAACATTCGTGTGCATGAGCCTAACGTTGGTTACGAAATTATATAGACTTAAAGATACACCCGAGATATATATGCACATACGCATCTGGGTAAGCATATAGATACTTATTAGATATTTTCTTCTTTCTTAGTTGCGTGTTCTTGTTAAGGTGTGCTTGTGTCAAAGGTCAAGTGTAGACTTGTATCTTTGCAAAATAATGAAGCTAGATACATTTGTTATTAAGTTTGGCATTACATTGTTTCATGTCTTGCATAACGGCACAGAAATCGAACACAACAATAATATGTATGCTCTGAGTTGTGTGGTGACAAGCAACTGATAATTACCCCGAATTCCATCCAAAGTGCATCCACAATACTGCCCAAAACGGTGATTAAATCAAATATGTTCCACGGGTCCTTGAAGAAGTTCTACAACGCGATCAAATTCAGAATATGTGTTATTATGCAAGGTAACAGCCAGTAATTGGTAAGACAAATAGTCAAAAAAGGTAGCAAAATTTCCTATTTCAAAATATCTATGATCAAAAACACTCACCTTAACACCGAATCCAATGATCTTCAGCACCGTTTCTACACTAAACATTCCGGTGAATCCCATGTTGATGTACTTCAGCGCCTTTTCGTACATGTCTCCTTGATTGTGATACTGTGGGGATATACAAATATAATTAGACACGATACAGACATACATTTTGACATAGAATTGAAAGCATATTGCAGGCAGATCGGTGGACATATTGCCGAAGTGCTTACCTTCATCATCAGCAGAAGGGTATTGAATACGATCAACATCATGATGAAGTACTCAAAAGGCGTTGACACCACAATGCGCCACACTTTATACTTGAAGGTGTTTCGATTCTTGGGCATATAGCGTTCGAGTGGACGAGCTCCTATAGTAAAATCGATGCAGGATTTCTAGAGTGAAGAGAAATGTAATTATGCTGATGAATTTTGGATGTCCTGAGGTGACGCTCGTGGCTAAATGCATTGCACAATGCACTTTTTACCAAACGTTAACTAGGGTGTCTTAACGCCTATGTCAAACACATTAATTCGACTACCAGTTTGCCATTTACAAATGGCTTTTAATTCTATATACACACATTAATCATCAACATCGATTTAAGCCACTACATTTCGATACCAATTTCGACAAACAAATCAAAGCAAACTCAAAATTATATTGATAGGTACGTACATATACTCGTAAGCAAATTGTTTTGAAGCAAAATTAAAAGATCTACCCCCTTAGTTTAAGGCGAATACATTCATTTAACACATGCCCAATTTGAAATTTATGGTTTTATTTTTGAGGTTTGACTAGCAGGATGTGTCTGTATTTGGATGGTACAAAAAAACAAAGGATCACCCGTTAAATCGCAGCTTCAGAATTAGGAAAACAAAAAGTTTCAACTGATAATACACATTTCTTACGATATGTCCTCTACTGGCGGATGTTGAAGAATGTATACTTACAATCGTCTGTGTTCGCGATTTGGGATTTGATGGGCAACGCGTTTGAAAAGCTTTGGCAACTGACTTTACGATAAAAATCGTTAAATATTCCAAGACTACTGGGGAATATTTAAGGACTATCGTGTGTGAAATGATACACCTCTATTTTCCGGTAAATGTTCACTATTTATATCAAAAAGGCAACTAATCGAGGCTTCTAAGCGAATGTACATATGTAAATATTTATATGTATATGGTTCTGGGAACTAAGGGCTAAAGTCGTTTCGAGGCCCACCAAAATACACGAGAAACTATGGGCGGATCTATACGCAAGTATACAAGTATTTATGTATTATATATAGAAAGAGTGTTTTTGTGGGGGTGTTATTGGGGATCATCCACAACGAAGGGCGAAAGGCAAGGCAAACATTTCGAGTACATACGAGTACGTATGGAACTAGACTAGGATTTGGACACATTCGATGTACGAGTAGAGTATTTGGCTCAGTGTACAGTGTGTACTTGTTGTGTTGGAGTTCGTTGACTAATAGGTATATGTAAGTATATTTTTGAACAGTAGTAGGTAGTAGTTGGTAGTAGTTAGTAGTAGCAGTTGTGGTAATGTCGATAGCGGGCTTTTACGAGTTAGTGAAATGTACGTGCAAATCAATCAATTCAATAATAATTAACTTGAACTTTGTTAAGGTTTTTTTTTGGTTTTGGTTTTGGATTTTTTTTTTTTTTTTTTGGGTTTTACATATACGACTAGCAGTACATTACACACACAACACACACATATTTATAAGCAGAGAGAGAGAGAGACAGAGAAAGGTAGAGATTTGGACTCACATATGTAGGTATTACGGGTCGGATGGGTGTGGCTCACCTGATTTTTGTCAATTTCGCCATCTTGTAACTCAGCTTCGCCTTGCTCTTGAAACGTAATAATAATCAAGGCCACGAATATGTTGACGAAGAAGAACGGAAATACAATAAAATACACAATATAAAATATGGACATTTCGATCCGGAAATTTTGGATTGGACCCCTATCTTCATAAGTGGCAGCCATTGAGTGTTGCAAGACCCTATTATTCGTATTGTTCGCAGTTCATTCGGAATCGGGATCGGGATCGGAATCGAAATCGAAATCGATCGATGTGGAATGCGTTTGTCGTTTTGTACACGGATGTGTGTGGATGGACATTCAGGTGCAGTTATTGTGTTGTGGATTGTTGAAGAAAGAGAGGCAAAAGATATCAGTTAGCTATGTCTTCCATTTCGATTTGCTCATCCGACAGTTAGACAGAGAGTTCGATAGACAGGATACAGGTACATTTTACAGATACATATTACAGATATAGATATATAGCGGGGGGAAATATACATATTCGATCTTATGAGTTATAACAACAAATGGGCTTACTGTGGCCATCCCTCGCCGGTCTGAACGGCGAACAGGGTCAACATCGCAGCGGCAACATTGTCGTAGTGAAAGGCCCGGGGCTTCCAGACCCTTTGTTCCTGTTTTGGCAGCAGTTCGTCCTCCTCGTACTTGAAGTACGAGCCCCTTTGGTTGCGTTTTTAAGGGTTTTTTTTGTTTTTCGGTTTCGGTTCATTTAGGGTTTTCATGTTTATGGTGTGGTTTAGTCAGTTATGTGGATTTACATTAGTAATTTGATTGATAAACATTTGAAAAATACCAAAATAAGGTTTGCACAATAAACACTAAGTTCAAAACGGAAAATAGGCAATGAAACTAAAGTTTGTCAAGCATCTAAAACGGAACCGAACATCAATTGGGAATCGTTATTTTGTACTATTTTTTTCTTTATGTTTTGTAGCTTTTGAAATATTAATGGAGTGGTGAAATGATTATAATGTGAAATATATGTAGAAGTCGAAGTCTAGTAAACATAACGACAGTTAGTTTTCTATAGAAACACATACTGGGGTGCCGTAAAAATCGTTAGCGATTTGAAAACTCAGTCTGGTCCGCAATATATGTAAGACCTTAGACTTTATGACCGCATTTATGTACTGCCAATATATTTAGAGATTTTCGGACACCCCTTGTGGAGTTGATTTGGAGTCGATGAAATTAGGTGGGCCTTGTCTTTTGAAATGCCATAATGGTTAGTCAGTGGTGCGAGAAGCTGCTGTCTCATCTACATACTGCATTGACCTTGTATGAGTGGGCAATTTGACTTGGAATAAGTAGGATCAACCCAAATCAACACTCGCTACGGTCTGAATAGGAAGGCGTACAAATAAAGAAATGTTCGAAAATCACTACATACAAAAGAAGAAGAAATTCTAAGCCCATTACCCGTGGAATGGATGAATGGAAAAAATCTAAGGGTCGACTTGGAGCTGTGGATCAAAAGTAGAGCTCCCTTTTACTGGGGCTACGTGGAGCTACAAACGTAGTTTGTGGTTCGTGGTTCGGCCCGTTGTCGGTTCGGTGATGTGTAACAAAGCAGCTGCACTCAAATGAATGGGTTCTCAACTTTAATTGGAAATAAATCAAGCTAAACTACACACCTAGTTTATTATAAAAATGTAAAATGCAAACACCTAAGTGCCAAGGAATATGTATTCGAAACTTTAGCTGTTTGTAAAACTATTCGTCCAAATGAGCAGACGCGTTTCGAACCTATTTCTTAAACTTTTACTCGAACCGATTTATAATTTTAGGTACATTTTGAAGTTACTCAAAAAAAAAAAAAAACATAAAAAATAAAGTTTCATCGCTGGCGGCGTATAGGCGTGAGTGTAAATGCTAGTGGGCGTTGGATGTACGTGTACATATGTATTGGGTTTTTTAAGTAAAATTTTTATTGGTTTTGATTTTGTAGTCAATTAGGTTGACCGCAGTTATTGCGTACGAAGGCCAAACAGCTAAAACAAACCGATACTCAATGGCTTTTGATAGTCGTTGAACGTCCCTCGGTTGCAACGCAAGTATCGGGCTTTGTTTTTCACTTCTCAACAGCGTCGAGTGTAAGAAATACGCGATGTTAGATAATAATATAATAGACATAATGATACTCTTTATACACACATAACTTAGGAAAGAGCGCTCGTCATCTAGTTGGATATAGTCTACTACAAAATGGTTACGAATCCTACGATAGCACTATTCGTACAAACCGTTTTTTTTTTCTTTTTTTTTTTTTTTGTAAACAGATTGAAGGACTTATACTGGAACATACAAATAATGGCGTGTATGCATGGATGATGGCTAGATATTGGGATACACGTACTACTTGGTTTGGAGAAAAACTTGAAGAACTGAAACTCGAACCATACAGGTGGACTGGGTCCTGAGCTTTGCAATATCCGATCTGAGTTACCCTATCTAGTAGTCTAGTCTAAAACAGTCCGTGGACTGCTATGCGCGTGCTTATTAAGAAATCTTCTGGTAGTAATATGGACTCTTTGGTATTTGGAGAATACCCAATTGCAAGTAAAAATGAAATATTAAAATATTGATATATTTGTGGTTTAAGTACACAAGCTAAACGCGAAGATTCTTGCTAGTTCCATTGGTATTGGTGTTACCCGAGCTTTGGTTTGTGAAGACAACATATACAAACATACACTGATACGGCTTAACTGATTAAATATACATATATAAAATAATTATAGAAAATTAGGCGTAACTGGTAAGGTATTTCAGGTGGCAACTAGAAACTGTAGGTTTGCATTTCTATATCACAGATGTTGATTCGAACGCATTTTCTCTCTATTTCATATGCTTTTTATCAGTCACTTTTTGATTCGGTTGGTTTTTTCTCTTTTCTCTTTTTTCTTTTTTTTCTTTTTTGCCTCTTCTTTTCAATTTTTGTTTTTGGTTAGTTTTCGTTTTTGTTTTTTTCTTTTATTGTGTGGTTTTTGGCCCGTTTAATCGCGTGACTGTTAATTAGACAAGTCAGGCAAGAAAAACATGGCGAGAAACTATAAAATGCTACTCTTACATTCTGTTAAATCAGTGCACCTTTTTTGGTTTCATGAAAACAAACATGATAATAGAACAAACATAAGGGTAATAAAAATGCTCAGGTTAACAAAACAATCGTACAACACACATACAAAACAGGAATGGATCTGAAAACTTATGTCCTAAATGCTCTCTATTAGGACCATTTTAAATTTAAACATACACGTGGGCATTTTAAGTTATATACACTAGTAGGGGTAGATTATCTAACAAAGGTCTCAACCTGCTTTCTCTCTGTATCGTTCGGTATTATATGATCCTCCAGTATTTTAGCTATTTTGAGTCTTAAACTCACAAGGAAGGAAGATTTGTGAGCACAATGTCGAAATTTTCAGCCTAAACATCAATGTATTCGGAGTTTAGAAAGTGTTATGTAGGCAAAGCACTCGTATAAAATGCAACTGGCCTAGAAATGTCATTTAATTTATAGTATTCATCCCGCCCACCACCTTAAACCACACGTTGTCTCGGTTTTTCATAAACACCGTGAACAGTTGTGCAATACTTTATATGATACAACTATGTTGTGTACAAAATGAACGAAGTTCCACCAGGTTTTCAGGAAATTGTACTTATTACGTTCGAAGTCTGCTCTTGTAAGTAGGCAACATATAATAGGATAATCGCTAGACCTAACATACGAGTATATAGCTAAACACATATGTACGTATAATGATGGATCAGGTCGGTTTGAAAAATATTTAGTTGTTAAATTACTCACTTTAGCTCTACTGCACAATTGGTTTTTAGGAAAACATTTAGTTAAATTATTTTCTACAACATCTAGTTAAGTCTTACAAACTATTGCACAGCCGACCAGTTAAAAAGTTATGGAACACAGACAAGGCAGTTTTAATGGGTGATGGAAGAGGGTGGTACTATTTTCTTGAACATAGCTATACATGTATGTACGTGTAAGAGCCCAGAAAAATATCGGGAAATGTACGTACGAGTGGGTGGTATGTGTTTGTTCTTTTCGGATCTATAAGCTACATATGTTTCGAGATATTTTCAATCATCTAGTTGTATAAATGGACCTTAGTTAAAGAAACACACACAAAGTTAGCAAGAGAGACAGATAGAAAGATAGTCATAGAGAGCGTGTTTTTGTGGTAGAAAGTAGGGAAAGCTAGAGCGCTACAGTGTAACGCGACTATACGATTGTATAGGATTCAATGATCGAGATGGTAAATCCAAGAAAAAAAAAAACAAAAAAAAAAAAACGAAAATATAGATCACTACGATGGGACAATGATATTAGAGGTGGCATCTTGGCCGGGATTCCTATGGCAAAATGATGGTCCAATAATAGAACATAATATCGATACAACATTTGATAAATCAGGAATAAGATTACGAAGAACTTAAGTAAGCGAACGAACAGTTTGGTAAACTTTGAATTGAATATAAATGTTACTTACTGGCACTCTGCGGAAGTATGTTTACTTTCGTCCGTACAATGAAAAAATTTTCCATTGAACAATTGTACTCCAATAACAGAAAATATAAATTGAAACAATATGTACACGATTAGAATGTTAACAACATTTTTCAATGAGTTCACGACGCAATCGAACACGGCTTTCAATTTCGGTACACGCTTAATGGTCTTCAATGGGCGTAGTACACGCAATACCCGAAGCGATTTAATAGTCGATAAATTTTGTCCAGCGCTGCTACCGCTCATATCGAAACCGAAACTAACAGCAGCGCATATAACGACCACAGCATCCATAATATTCCAGAATTCTCTTAAATAGCTGCCAGGGTGCAGGATCACACCCAAGTCTACAATTTTCAGCAACATTTCTATCGTGAATACGCCGGTAAATGCATAATCGAAATAATTCAATATCTTGTTTCGGCTCGAGTTCTCACGAACGGGATCTTCGGCTGCTAATGCTATTGATGACATTGAGATGACAGCCATAATGAAGAAATCAAAATATGGTAAATTAACCACCCAATGGGCGCCGCGTCTTATGCTGTATAAGTCGTACGTTATCGTTATCGTTATCGTAATCGTTATTTTCATTTTGATTGTGTCGAATTCATCATCGGTAGATAGGTTTTTAAATTGTTTGCGTTTCATATATATAAATATACAGACATATATAGAGTTTGGTTTAATCATGTAATCAATTAGGATCATGGTCGTATTTTTGCATTCGGGATTGCGTCAAATTCGGTGGCAGTTTTTGTTTTGGTTTATTTTATAGTTTTGATTCGAAATTCGGTTTGGTGTGGGTAGAAAATTTCAAAGATTTTTGTTCATGTTTCAATATCAGATTCCGATTGTAATTTTCGCATTTTTGATTTTTGGTTTGTATTTTTTTTTTTTTGGGGTAACCGTTCGTTTTAATTGAATTTGTTGATGGTTTTCATTTTTTGGCATCGTTCCAATTTGTTTAGGTTTTGATTAAGTTTATTGTTTGTTTAAATTTTGAGATGAGTTCGTTGTTTAAAATGAATTGTTGTTAAGCAGTTTGTTGTTGTTTGTTCGCAGTGTCGATGATTTTTGAACAAAATTGTTGCAGTTTTTCGAGATGATTTTGTGGTGGTGGTTGATGGTTGATGATGAGGATAATTATAGTCAGATATTGTGGTTGAATATATTTACAAACACATGTCAATTCATTAATTTGTTTGTTTGTTTTGTGTGCAACATAAGATTGTAATCCAAAACAGGAAAAAAGGTAAAAAGAAAAGAGTATATTGCATCAGTAATTGATTAAGTAGTACTACGGTTATAGTAGTTTATCAGATATTAGAATATGTCATTGGCTATGGATGATATACGTAGTAACTAGAATAGGATACTGTACAATATAGATAGGGAATACTTCTATAAAACCCGTAAACACTTTTAATAACCTTGAATACCGGATCATGACTACAAAATGATCATGATGCCTTGACAAAACATAAAAAACTGTATAGAGAGTGTTCCAGTGGTCTTACTTACTCCCTAGCAAACGGGATAGGATCCTGGAAGAGACTCGATTAACTTAACTCTAGGATGGAACCCTATCTGATAGCACTACGATTGATGACCCATGACCATGAGCAATGGAAGGCTGATTGAGTTATGGAATATTTACGGATTAGTTGGTGATAGTATAAACATCGATGAGTAGGGCAGCATCGGCTTGGGACCCTCGGTCACTTCCTCCTCCTCCTTCTTCTCCTCCTCCCTTTTCTTGCCCTTGGACTTGCTGGGGGCGACAGCACCATCGCCGTTCTCGACATGGACTCCATCCGCCTGGAGGGCCTCCATCTCCTTCTCGAGCTCCTGCAGTTGTTTCTCTTTATCCTCTTCGACTTGTTCCTCTTCGGCTGCTGTAAGTTCTTGGGCATTCGCCAAATTATCAACGGCGATAGCCAAGAACACATTCAATAGCGTGTAATTTCCGAAGAGTACCAAAACGATAAAGTATCTGTCGAAAGAGCACCAAGAACACACAAAAAACAATCAGAGTTGAACACACTCAATTGTATCAATCTATTAGGGCATTAGCTCAGGAGAGGAACCTCCTCGATGATATGAAACTCAAAAGATACGTCAACGTGTGCTGGGAAATTCTTAAAAAAACGTAATCGGGTATTAATTGTACGGCATTGTGGGGTCTGTTTAAAAACTGAGGCAACTACGTTTGGTTTTGAGAAACCCATTCTTTTTTCTGTTGAATTCCTGTAAATAGAGATGAGATTGAGAATAGACAATGGTATAGCGTTTAGTGGACTGTACAGATTCATTATCAAAGGCCAAAGGTTCTCTACACTTACGGATTAATGGGTATTCACGATGAATGATATAGTTAGTGGGTGGCTTGATTGGCGGTTTAGTTGGACTTGCGCTTGCAGAATTTTGGAGCGTTAAGCTATCAAAATTCTTCTTCAAGCTCGAAAGTCTAAGGTCGATTGCACACATTAATGGTTCGACGTTCAATGAATTGCGAATATGCTCGCTTGGTAGCAGTTACATTATCATTTCGATTTTTAGGGATGGAGGGGCGACAAATTGAATCAAAATCCTAACGCTTTTGATCGAGATCAATAGGTTTTCCATTGTGCGGTAACTACATTTACATTAACATTTACATTTACTGGTACTTGTACTTGTTTGTTTGAGTTTTCGACTGGCATACATACAATGCACATGACAGAATGATGGGTACGTAACACAAACATAAACTTACATAGAGTAAATCATTCCTTTCTGCGCACCACCCTGAGATATGATGCCCTGGTACATGACCTCGTTCCAATCTTCGCCAGTGAGGATTTGGAATACAGTCAACAGTGCTATCGGGAATGTGTTAAAATTGGTTTCAGGCGTGCCTCCGGGCAGATTGAACTGGCCGCCAAACAACTGCATGCCCAGTAAGGCGAATATGAGGATGAACAAGAAGAGCAGGAACAACAATGAGATGATCGATCTCATCGAGTTCAACAGAGAGATGACTAGATTGCGCAGCGACGACCAGTACTTGGTGACTTTGAAGATGCGCAACAATCGCAGGGCACGCAGCACAGACAGACCGAACGAACCGCCTTTCACCTCGGACCAGATCACTTCGAATATCGAACCACTAATGACAACGCAATCAAATCGGTTGAACGACGACTCAAAGTAGATGCGGGGCCCCAACGCATACATCTTGATGAACATCTCCGACATGAAGAGTCCCAGGAAGATGAATTCAGCATAGTCTGCAAGAATAACACACGGATCACAAACATTATCCAATGGCTACCCATCGCGATACTTACACAGAAACTCCGTGAGGAACGAGGGCTGGCCGTAATGCTCGACGGCAACGCAGACTGTGTTCAGAAAGACGAGGACGATCACGAACCAGTAGAACCACTGCGTCTTTACCGTGTGCCGGATCCAGAAGCGAAACCTCTTCTCCGCCCGCCAAAATCCGGTACAACTTCCTTGAGGTTTGGAGCGCGTTTTGAGGTAACCTACAGATAACAGAGAACGACAGCCAGTCAGTTTAGAAGCCTTTAAATACATGGTTACATCTCCACCTATGATTACAATCAGGCTAGTGTGACCTTTGTTTAAATACGGGTGCAGTGCACTTCAAAACACTTTAAATAGCTTTTATATTTTTCCGTCGACTCTACTGTTTTGAAACGCACTGTTGCCAACAATTAATGTACTCAAATATAATGCGAAAGAGGTATGTTGTTGTTGATCTTAGCGATAGAGTATGGTTGACTATTTGTTATAAAGACGACGTTGTACAAGTGCGAATTTTATTGTTTTGGGTGGGCACTATCTCTATATAGATGTCACTTGGTCCTTGCGATTGCTGTCTAAAAGTATCTATCTAATGTGCTTATTTTCAATCACAAAAATCCCTCAGTCGACTTCTTACCCTCACTACCAGAACTCAAGTAATCAGTATCTTAGTTTTTGGAAAGTATGGGCTTTTGTTCGCGAAAGCGGGCGATAGTTATGTTTTAGTTTAATGATTTCAGTTTACTAGTATTTATGGAGATTGTATACCCCAGATACATATAATACCAACTACTTTCTCATATTTACACAAGTGACAAGTTTACACATATTTTTAAAGAGTTGCTGTACGATGAGAACAATGAATTAGTTCAATTCTAGCTAGTTTGTTAGCATATTAAATGGGGTTTTAACTATCTGACGCTTGTGCAGATTTTTCACTTGGTGAAAAAATAAATAATAATTTACTTACACATTTGGAATATATTCAAGGTAAGATTTACAATTTCGTTTGTTGTAGTTAGTTCAAACATAGAAATAAAAAATGTATTAATTGCATATCGAAGTTCCTTAAAATGCAATGCAATAGGAAAACTAAAAAGTTTAATTAAGTTGCAGCCAATTGTTTTGGTTTCGTTTATTGGTTATTTGGTTTATCCCATTAAGCATCCATTTCATTTCTTGGATTGTCTTTTATGTTGTGTTTTGTTAATTATAGACCTAAGCTCATCGAAAACTATTTAAAATATCTTTCTTACCATCGTCTCCATAGTCTTCCTCGGCTTCCTCTTCCTCCGTATCTGTGGACTTTGATTTTCCCAAGCTTTTCAGCTTTTTCCGCTTGGCAGCGTTTCGTCTTCGCGCTAAAGAGCAACATTTTGTTATAATATAGGTGCTATAATCTAATAATGATAAAACTCACCCTCCATTATGTGCATTTTCTCTTCTTCCGTTGTTCGCTCCTCGGCCAGGATAACCTCCTCTGAAATAGCATCAAAATCCAGTGATTGGTGAAGGGTCACAACAAGGAAATCGATTTGATCAACACATAAGCAGAAGGGATATATGTACATTATAGTCAATGTGGGTAGATGTTTATATATTGGGGCGGCATGAGGGATATGTGTCCATATTTCCATGATAACTATTTTAATTCTGAGTATATTAGGGAATTTATTCATTTTAAAATTTGGCAATGTATAGATAGGTTCGAGGGTTTCAATTTCTATGAGGAAAGGGATGCTAAAATGTGCCAAAAGTGCTGGCTATAAAGTAACATCTCAATACGTATATTTTATTTTTGTATCATTTTAAATATGTATGAATATATCGTTATTTTATATGAAAATGATATACACGATATCCAGTTAATGTATCTTTCAGTGAAGCAATGAAATTTCATGTTGGAAATTTTTTAGAAACATCAAATATTAAAAATCGCTGTTACAGTTTGGAAATAGAATTTGATAGTGATTATCGACCAGCTTTTGCTTATCTATTATAGTTTTCCTACTACCATTGAATTTAGTTATATAGCCATAGAAAAGGACCTCATTTTGGCATATACCTCGGTTCTATAATATATATGTACATATGGATGATGATGAACATGGGGCGAAAAGTGTTAAAATTTTTATGTTTGTATAATTGTGTATGAGAATTATCAATGTGTGTATATATAGATTTACAAACAAGAAATAGGGGTAAATACTATACCAGCTTTACAAATCCATTCAACATAGCCGTTTAACTCTCTTTCTAGTTGCTGCTGCCTTCTAAGTTTAAGAAACTCTTGTCTATTTTCTACTTTTTCTCGTTCTTTTGCGAATTCACTACAAAAAATAATTAAATAGAACGTGATAAACCAAAAAACAGGATTGATTGATTGCTAAAACGATCATGTATGCTTTGGTATAACAATATCAAAGTTCACACCATACTTTCGTCATTGTTTTGTACGAGTGTAATCAACGGAGAAAAATAAAGAAAAAATAATAAATGAAATGAAGAATATGCCAGTGCTTTTTAGAACACAACAAACGGGCATAAACAGAAAGTCGAAATAAAGTAACAGAAATGCAATTTATCACATATATTTATTGCGCCTCCCCGACGGGACCCTTCAATGAGGTCAAAAGTCAAGGAAAAATATATATAAAAGAAGGGAAATGTGTTAGATTATATGTGTGCATACAAGCATATAATATATAATATGATTTATTCGGTGGCGACAAATAAATATAGAGTACGCATGGGGTGATGATGCCATAGCATCATCGGGATTTCAATAACTCTGATTTTTCCCTGGTTCGCTGGGAGTCTGGGAGTCTGGGAGTCACTGAGTCTGGAGCGATGATACATTTTGATGGCGATAGTTAACCGGGGACAGAACATTGATATTGATAGGTGGGTGCACTGCTCTATCAGTGTATATAGTGTGTGGGGAGTGTACTATATAGCCGAGATATCGAGAACGAGAACGAGGCCGAGACTCAACAACAATTCACGAGTCCGCTGGCGGGGATTGTATATAACTGGAGGTTAAGATGGCTAACTGCGTTGAAATAGCTATGCATTTGGTTAGTTTGGTTTATTTGGGCTGGGGGAATTCAACTTTATCGCTATGGTAGTACGAATCGGGTTAAGTGTGTGGCAAAATGCAGAGAATATAATACGCATTACGCACTGCAGGGTAGATGGATAAGATTATTGGTTGGTTGGTAGAAACTATAGTGGGGTGAACGGCATCTCGCAGTTAATATTGTTAATTCGGTTCATTGGAAGTACATAGTAGTTGTATTGTATTGATGGTAAGTAAGTTTTGGGTACCAGAATTCTTTGCAGCCGGGGGAATTGCTTGCGATCTATTTAAGAATACATAACTAGCAGTAAATCAAACACGTTCTTTATAAACTGGTTAAGGAAGTATAGGTCGGAGTTTGCTTTTTGGTTTAATTAGATGGGTGTTTAACTCAATGAACTCGCTCGGATTCGATAGCATTAGCATACGAGTAGACTTATTGTTCTGTTTTTGGCCGATAATAGTTATAATTAGTTATAATTGCAGGTTGTGTTGTATGACGTTCGGGTTGATTATGGCAGTTTACTTGGTTGCACTTAGATATAGATCTAGTTGTATAAACCTGCTTGTGTGATCCAGTCAAGGTACGAGACCATTGCTGTCTGAAACATGGCCCGAAAGCGGCATTTTTGAAACTCCATGCGACGTTCGACACGATTTCGTTCGTTCGAAAACTCTCTGAATTCGGGAATACGATAGTTAAATGCATTGAACAAAATTTCGGAAAATAAAATATATATATAACCAAACGTACAAGTTGAATGCAAATCAAAATGACAGTATATCAAACACGTACATACATATATTTCAATCGTCCGGCCACAGGCGAAAATTTCAAATAATTTACAGCCAAATTGACTTTGATACTTTTTTTCTTTTGCACCCTGTATGCGCATGCACGTAGCTCTACGTAAAACCGATATATACATATGTATAATCTGGCAATTGGACACACTTTCTTTACATTTCAGCTTTACAAAAGTATTTAAATGCGTCATAAGAAACACTCGACGACATTCCATATCGAAGTGATCTAAACATATGTATGCAGTATTTGCAGATCCCATTTAACCAATTTTGTACTTGTACTTTTTTTCTCAACAGAAGTCGAATCGAAATCATAAGTAGAACATAATGTGAACTGGTGTAGAAGTGGCTGCATCGATAAAATAATGCAATTCGCGATCAACTTACCCACTAAGGACACCAAGAACTAAGTTGAGCATAAAAAATGAGCCTATAACTATAAGAGGCACGAAATATATCCAATTACATGCTGAACCTAAAGCGTCGTTGGTCTGCGAAGTAGATTCGGTTAGGATACAGCAATTATTAACTGGGATCAGTGATGACTGACCGAGTCCATAGATTTAAGTCGACTTACCCAATACAATATTGACGTCCAGCCCTCCATCGTGATACATTGGAATACGGTCAACATGGCAAATCCGATGTTATCGAAACTCGTGATACCTGAATTTGGTCCCTCCCACTTCTCCAGACACATGCTCGTGGTGTTGTTGCATACGAAGGAGCCGGTGGCCTTTTCCAGGACGTTGTCCGTGTTGCAAGGCGTCTCTGAATCGCCCTCCTTCACTAGTTTGTCTGCTCAGAAACGAAAGCGATTAGCTGCGATCGCGGGGTTATCATAATTGATTGGATATTACTTGGATCTTCTAAGCTATAACAAGTCTTATGCAGTGCGCCCGAATAAAACTCGAGTCCAATGATTGCAAAAATTACGATTGCAAACAACACCAAGAGACCGATTTGCAGTAAAGGTGCCATCGCCTTGATTATAGATTTTAAAACTACTTGTAAACCTGTTGACGTTGCCGTTCATCCGATCCAGAAACGATTCAGTTGATTGGTTGGTTGGTTGGAGAAGATGGACGTTGGATTAGAAAGCTGGGTATGCTGGGTATGTGTTCACATTTAGGACATGGTTGCCGCCGATACGGAGTGCTCCACGACAACCATGTGCCACAAACAACCATTCTAGTCAAAAAGAGTACGTTTCAAACGAAAATCGAAAACTAAGTGGTGGCATTCACTCATTATTTTCCACTCACTCGTACTAGAAATTTAATCAGTATCAAAAACAGTCTCATTTACGCACACTTAAGAGTCTGGAGCGGGTTTGGGTTTCAAAAAATCAAGAATGGAAAGACAACAACGACATGTAGAATTAAACAGAGGAACTACTCACTAGGAATTCCAGACACTAATTTTAAGGGCCGTAGCACACGAATGGCTCTAAGTGTTCTTAGGTCTACCTCGGGCCCTATTTGTGGGTACTGTGTCATGAATCTGTTTGCAGACGTTAAGCGATCGAAATGAAGTTATATATTGATTAGCGATACACAATGGATACAGATCAAAATATGGTAGATCACATAATCATAATTGCAATATCGAAATCATACGAGTACGTTCAAAACAAAAGTTCGTATGTATGGTGCAGCTTAAATCGAAACTTGAATCGAAAGCAAGAAGCAACTGAGAAGTGTACAAATTTAAATAACTTAAGTAATCCAGAGTAACGTTTAACGCGCGGTTAGTTCATATTTTTCGCACACACAATGGGTAACCCAAGCGAAAACGCAGAATAGTTTACCTCTGCTCTCCTTTCCAAACAATATTGATCAATATTTTCTGGCTTTTACATTTGTGGGAGAGCAAATGTAAACTATGGTTTTGGTCAGCTATGGAGTAGAATATGAGTTAGGGCTATAATATAAATATCAAATCAATCTATTGCTTATTACATACACACTGCTTATTCTAAGCTCTAGGTAATTTAAGTAATTCCTCCCTTCAACAGACACAATTTGTAATGTATAAAGTGAAATAATAAATTTAACACATCTACAATTGACTAAAACTTGGTCAGTCGCTCTATAGCTTAGGCTTTACACATAGATGTATCACTTATGTGCCAGCTATTATCGAAAATCAATAATGTTCGCTATTATTCTACCACCTTGAAAAGGGGGCTTATAGGTGACTTGCAAGTTGCGATCTATTTTAATTGAAATCGAATTGAAAGGTAGCTTGAGTTACGGTTAAGACTTAAGGTCTTACATATAAACATTATCACACGTGTGTAGTTATATAGAGCCCTTAAATCACTTATAGGTATCTAATTATTATAAAGCTAATATAATATTTTGTGAACAGAAATACAAATGGTTGTCTGGCTAGTCGAAATCACTACAAAACATAAAGAATATACAGCTATATATGTTTATATATCCATAAAAACTACCGAGCGGTAGCCACGACATGAATGTTTTTCAAAGTTAATAGGGTGGTTAAGCTCCTACATTCGTGGCCACCACTGTACATGAATTGATTTAGTTTATAAACCTACAAGATAACACATTGCATCCTACTGATGCCATCTATAGTTGAATAACGCTAGTCCTATTTTGTTTATAAGGGAATTTCACAACCGTGCTACCGTTTTTCTTTATATAATTTATTTAGTTTAAACACATCTTTATCAGTTTTGTAGAATATCGGAAGCTTGATCGAAATTTAAAGTGTCACAGAAAATATTTGATGGCTACTTAATATATAACTAATAAATATATAATAACACTATTTTAGCATCTAATTCTGTTTATGTTTATGGCGTTTTCGCTACTCCTATACCAATTAAATTCAAGGTGAAGATCCATGTAAGTTAACTAGCTTTTTCGAGTGTATTTATTTAGTTAATATATATGTTTACTGAAGAAACGATGTATTATCTGGCCTAGGTATTGGTAGTAGCAACTAATGGTTCTTTTGTTAGCAGATGGCTTACTTGGAATTCGGGATACGAGCTTCAGTGGGCGTAAAACACGAAAAGATCGTAACATACGCAGGTCAACATCTATATTGGCCTCAGCAAATATCGTCATGGCTCTGCAATTGGCATTGTTTATTGCCATTTCGAGTTCGTTACACGCATTTGGACATACGGGAGAATTGTTAATATAATCGCTTACTTAAGGTATATTTATGTGCGTTAGTTTAGGCAGAGGTCTTACCGCAAGACGGAAAAATATTAGGCACTTAATAACTAAATACATATCGTTATATAGAATTTATGGATTGTACAATTTAAAATTACAGCTTACAACTAAAATGGCATGTCCAATTCTTATTTCAGATCATGATGAATCCAGAAAAAGTTACTGAGTTTTTCAGAAGATTTGAATGAAACTTTTTCTTGGGATTCATTATGATCAAGACATGATACAGAGGTGAAATTGGTTTGTATTGAACAAAAAGATAATGCTTGCACGGCGTGGAGTTTTGAAATCGATATTATTTGAAAATAAAATTGGTGCATGTGTGTGGAAAATAGTTTGGTTCATTATTTACCCCGTAACTACAACGAAAAAATCCATGATGTTCCAAATATTCCTGAGATAGGAGTGTTTATGCAGAACAAGCCCTAAGGCGAGGATCTTGAGCGACGCTTCTACACAGAAAATGCATAAAAAATAGGCCTCCGTTTTTTCCTAATTCAATGGCCAAAACGTAAATCAGTCAATCCGTTCACTTCACCAATCCATCTTACCAATTTTTGAGCCAATACTGTCTTGTCGCCCCCCGGCAAGTGCTCCTCTAGTGCCAACACAACACAGTTGGCTATGATTGTCAATAACACAGCGTATTCAAAGGGCGGCCATTCTATGATGAATCGTGTGTACTTTCTAATTGGGTTATCCTCGGTTAGAATAAACAATGACGTCGGACCACCACCTGGTGGGTTTTCCTCTTTTTTCGGGCCACCCATTCTATCAGCTAAGCGATGGGCTCCCTTTCGACCCAAGTGCCCCCCGCCTAAGGAGTCCTGTTGATGCTCTGCTTGCACTACTTCCTGAGCCGCTTCCAACCTGTATGGAAGAAGGATAGGTTGTAAAATATTTATGTACTGCCTACGCAAATCAATTGGAGCTAGCCCTATTCATTTACTCGCGCTTAACGAATATTTAAATCAAATTATCCGCTTAACAACGACGACGCTAGTAACGCGGCTGCTAAGCTTCAATTTAAAAGTGGTTCTTAACTTTATATAATCAATTCTGGCATAATATGCTTACAGCTTTCTGAAATGTTAAATTTAATATAGAAGTGTTACTCATTCGGTCTTCACATTTTATAATTTGCAGACATTACAACGTTTTTGTTCGAATATGCCTGATTTATTGCGGTTTATAAATAATTAATAATAAATAAAGTTGATTATTAAGTTTAGATGATAATTGCAAGGACATATACCATGGTAATGGATTTTAAAAAATATTTTCCTCTAGGTCATAATTATCAAACAAAATAACATGTAAACGTTTTGAAATTCGTTGGTATAGCTTGAAAACGGATCCATCGAGTCAAAGAAACCTACAATGCTGAATCAGGACATCAAGCTATTGGAGTTCTGAATTCATAATACGTTTAATTAGATGAAGGTGGCACGTACCGTCACTGTATCCAATTTCTGATACTTTTGTAACGACCGCTCGGCCATAATTATATTAAACAAGGTCAACCACAATACGCATTTGTCGGGAGTGACACGCCGTCCGTATGGAGCGATAGCGGCAACTGGACATTTAGCTCGCGAGTCCGATTGACTGTTGCTGGTGATTACTGAAGGATGTGGAGGATGTTTGTGATGGAGGCTGAAGGATTCCGGGTGCGATTCCTTAACTTCCTGAACTCGCGTCCTTGTCCTGAATCCCTCGATCGTTCACTTCTGCTCGGCTATTCGTATGCTCGTATCCCTTTGCCGTTTTTAGCGCTCTTTAAATCGTAGTTTTTTATTATTATTTATTAGCTATTCCGCATTACCACTGTGTTATTATTGCACTTGAACTGAATATGGAAATACGAATACGAATACGATTAGACGGAAATCACACACACACACACTCGATTCGATTTTAATTGCAAGTGAAACTGGACAGATTTCGGAATCTGTTTTTTTTGCTGGCGGTGGTTTTGAGTGTTTCGTCGATGTTGTGCTACTTATTTTGCCAACCGATAATTATGATGCGCTCGGGTCAATTCAGTTCATGACCTATTGAAAACATGCTCTTACACTCGCGCACGAACATATACATACATATGACTGGATGGGAATGGGAATGGGTATGGGAATGTGGTTACTTGGGTGCATACAAAGTGCAAGGCTGGTATTACATTTCTACCCACTATGGGGTGTATCTATAAAGAAGCAGATCCACAGCATTTAGGATTGGCTATGGCTATGGACACGGTCTGCAGATAGATGTGGTTATTTCGGATATTGGTATAAAATTCCATTACTGGAACACGCCATGAATGAAAAACGTTAGGGGATGAAAAAGTCAGAGGCTGAGAGACTGGCACACATACAAATGCATGTGTATGGGCCAGCAAAAAAAAGCTCAATACACTTGCACACATACACGCACATATATACACGGGCTGTGGTGAGTTGCGAAACGGTGAGATTCCGAATTCCGACTGGAAGGATTTTGAAAATTTGTTTACCTTTTTCAGAGTATTCTTGAATTAACAAACCAGCCAATAACGCAACGGAGCCATTAACAAGGTTTTAGTTTCACAGGTGTGTTTGAGATAATCAAATGTTTTGATTTATTTAGCTGATAACAAGAATTGGCATTTGCAAATTTCAACTCTCTCCATTCCATCCACACACACACACACACATGCCGGCAGAAGCTCTCTCTCCCCCCCTCTCTCTCACACTCTCTCTCTCTCTCTTGGTTTCAACAATCACTGGGTCACACCGATAACGATAACATCGCAGCCACAAATCGCTTGCCTACTTTTAAGGGCCCATGTAAATCTGGTTGCTTTTGCATTTAAATTAACTATTGCCCATTGGGATGGGGCACTTTCAGATGCGCAAAGCAATGGCTTTTCTTTAAGCAAACATTTTGGTTTAAAGGGATTGTAGAAATCGAGCTCTCTTTTCCCTAGTGACGTCACCAAGCACAGTTGTCTGCAGTTTTTCTTATGTTGTCGATGTTTTTCGGAACCAGTTTGGGTTTTGGAATGGGCAGGAGCTATATATATCTGTATGTCTGACTACAATCGGGCCACAGTGAGACCAACGAACCTGTAATTGCCAAAAATAAACAGCAGGAATGACAAACTTGCTATCGCGGCCCCACAAACTAGCGCTGTTGTTATTTTTTCTGGAAATGTTACTCTTTTAATTGGGCTTAAAGGACCAACTGAAATTTGATATATCGTTATTCTTTAGTTACAGAGCACACGTCTACCACACTATTTGTTCATATGCTCGCATTCAAATCCGCATATTCGTATGAGCACTGTTCAAAGAACAGAGACAAACAAATTTTTCACTTCCGTGAAAAGAGAAGAACATTATGAGAATTCGTTTCCGGTATGGAAAATATATATATACATGTGTGCACGTGTGTGTGTGTGGGTGGGTTGGGAAATTTACGACCAGTAAATATTTGCGTGGGCTGGGAATATAGTTAATTTTAATATTAATTTGGGGGGTGCTTCCTGCTACATCGCCTCAATTCATTCACCTCGAAAGTGCGTGTACACGTCACAAAAATAAACGATATACCGATAGGGTAAAACACCCGAAAACTCCATATCTCCTTTTCCTTCAGCCTCAGCTTTAGCTTTGGCTTTAGCTTTTCCTTTCGCCTTTCCTTTTCCACTTGCCACTTGCCACATCCACTTCCACTTCCATTCACCGCAATATATAGCACCACCGACGCAACATTCCGCCCGTTGTGCTACCGACCCGCTGACCCAATCCCAACAACTATATATATGGCTATATGTACATATGTATATGGATGTGTATATGTGTGCGTGTGCGTTGGTGTGTGGTGCGTTCGTGGGGCTTGTTAACTTTAACTTTTACAACTGGTTTTTAAGAATAGCTTCGGTAATTGGGATTGGAAACGAATGTATATACATATGTATGTGTAGGTGGCTAAAAATAAAAATTAGATCTGGGTGCCTGGAGAAGCACAATCAGAGGTCGTTTATTGGCTTCAGTAAGCCCGAATAATGCTTTTCACTTGGTTTCCCGATTTCTTTTCTTGCTATTTTTGCTGTCCTCGCCGCCATTGTCGCCAATTCGACGTTTTGCCATTGAGTTTTTCACGATTTTCACGATTTTCCGACTATATTTCTTGTTCTTGGTTTGGATGTTTGTAGTGTTATTTTCACCACTCGACCCGAATTCGGATGCCAGCGAAATGTGGAATTTTCACAGCACTTTTAAGCCCGCATTGCGAGTGATTTGCACTTGATTTCTTAACACCATGCTTCGATATTCAGCCACAGTTTGGTTGTCGCATATTTGCTGATTAAATGGGTGAGCACGAGTTAAAAATAAAAAACAAAAACCGCTTCTACGGGAGCTGTCGCCACCGACTTTGTCTCACCAGTTGGACGAAAAACTCAACAAAACGCAAGACTTCAACTCGGCGACTTTGTATCACATACTACCACATCGCCAGGGCCCACACACACGCACAAAGGGCAAAAATATGGAAAAAAGAAATTCACCAGCCCTGCGCTCTGCGTCCGCCCGAAAGCTCAGGTCCAAGCTCCAGTTCAAGCTCAACTGGAGGGGTGGACACACTGGCCAGCAAAAGTGCAAAGGCGGCGCATGCGTGTCCTCCAAGGAAACCAGCTCTTAAGAGCATTACATTATTGAGCTTTAAGCACCGCTTGCTGTTCACTCCAATGACACAAAACAATCGAACTTTCGAGAAATCGGTGTTTCAGCAGCCTGGCTTTAATCGTACCCCTTAAATTGAAAAAAGAACAACGAAGTTGAAGCTACTTAGCCATCCTAAGAGCTTTTCTTTTACTCCACAAGGATGCTGCTTTACGACTGTTACAATATTTGATAAAGCTTTAAGCTCTGAAAGCGTGCAACCCCTAATAATGAAAACCATCCCTTTGTCAAATTATCGGTCATTTGTAAGCCCGGCTTTAACCAAATTTCAAAGTTTCAAAGGGGCTCTCATGTGTGACCTAATTAAGGAATATATACTACGTATATGACCCCTGCTCAATAAATTTACCCCTTTGTACATTTCAAAAAGCCTCATTAAAAAATATCGATTCAGTTATGCAGAACCGCAAAATATTTTTAAAGATCTATATCTATAGAAAGTTATATCCTGTAATGGTCTGTAAATTCAGTTTGCAGGTAATGAATTTGTACCCAGTTTTTACCCAATGCTGCTACCAGTTTTCAATACTTCTTTAGAGATCGAATGATCTTTTTAAGAGAATATTAAGTTTAAATGATTGATATTTGAGTTGGAGGTGGTACTTACATGAGGTCGCCTAGATTGGGTCGCGTCTGGACAAGAGCGAAGCTTTCCGGAGCCCGGCGCCTTTTGTTGGACCCTTGCGAGCCGTAGTGCGTGCTCCGCCGGATGACGCCATCGCCGATGATGGCAATATTGTCATCCAGGCCGTTGATGTTGCTAATAGTCAATCGCGCCATAGGAGATGAGCCCCTTCTGCGACGAGCTCCCACTCCGCCCAGCATTCTGGGAATCGGTGAATCGAACTTTGCAATGCGCGAAATATACTCCAAATATGGCCATTTCTGTAAAATATTCACTACCAACCGGTCACGTTCACAATTCAATGGGTTGCACTGGTCTGGGGATCTTCATCGATTGCGGATGTCCGGAGACGACGGGCCCAGAGCCCCGGGTGTGATGCACCAGCTGCCACGGTCCGGACGGAACTGATAGTCGATGGCTACCACTGCTGTCGATGCCCCAACAACCCAGCAAGATAGATAACAGCCCAGATGGCGATGACGACGATTGCGGCTGATGACGTGCTTGATAGTAGTCAGCATATGCGCAGTGCAGGCTGCCGCTAGTAATTAGGGTGTCCAGGTGTCCCTGGGTGAACGCCACTCAGACGGGCAGGCCGCCCACTCCGGATATTGCCAGCTTCCTTTGTTCACGAGCGCCAACACACTGATAACAAAGACATGGCAAAAGTTACTATATTACAATTAAATTTCATATTTAACATACCTGTGATTTTCTCTCTATGCATGCTTTCTTTGGTCGGAGGAATAAAACATTGCAGTTTTGGAGATTTTGATGTTAACGATGTTAATTTGATTTAAAAGTGTAGTGATTCTATAGGAAATTTCCTTTTGGCTTTCCCGTGCCATAATTTATTATTCGAATTGCCTTACTGTCTTAAATAAAAGAAAAATTGAAATGCCATAATCAGAAGTTTCCGTAGCAAAACTTGAAAAAAAAAACCGATATCCGCTAATTACTCCGAGTAACTTTTTCCCATCGCCATGCCCAAGGGGCTATCACAGCGCTTACTTAGAAATGCGTTCCCAAACACATTTCGGATGTGATTTAAATTACGAAGGCCGTGATCCAGTCCAGAAACTTAGCCACGTCGGCGTATATGATGTACTGGTTCTTACAGCAAAGCTTATGGTTAGATTCCGGATCCGGGGACACTACGGCGGGCAGGGCCGCTGACACGGTGCCACGCAGCATCCAGCGATTGTTCCGGCGGATGAAAAGACCGGCCCCCGATATACCGGTGTAGATGCTGGCACCACTCTGATGCGTATCTCGTTCCTCCGTCTGGATGGCGGCGCAAAATGTCCGGTTTGAGGATAGGCTGCGAAAGTGGGCATTGGCCCGAAAGCATTCGGCATTGCCTACAATGGGAGCCTTTACTACCTTGGGTGCACTGGCATCGGAGGACTTCTTGCCCGGCAGCCCCGCCAACAGCTTCTGATCTTGCGTCCTGTTCGATCTGTCAAAACTCCAGCCGATGACGATGCCCCGCTCGCCCACAATATACTCAGTTTTGCTGGAACCAGACCACAGGCAAGCGGGCCGAATAAAGGTGTTAAATCTGCGGGGAAGTGATTGAATAATGTTAATATGTCAATGTAAAACATGTTGTGCATTAACATTAAGCATTGGACCCACCGAACTTCGTCCTTGAGTATAATCACCGCGATATCTGCATCGTAGCTGCTCAGCTGACTGTTGAAATCGGGATGAATGTAAATGCCATCGACGGGGGCCGCCAGAGATCCCTCCTCGTTCCAGTTCTTTAAATTGTGACGGCCCAGAAAGACGAGCACCTCGTTGGATGTGTAGCGCTTGTTGAACAACTTGAAGCAGTGCGCCGAGCTGATTACCACGCGTCCAGAGACCAGCGATCCACCGCACTGAAAGTCCAGGGAAGTCAGGTTGTTCACATAGATGGCCGCTAGCCAAGGCCACGATCCCCTGGTGATCGACGGCAGGCTACCAGCGCTTTCGCCTTCTATCGCTTCTGCTTCCGATTCGTCCTCAAACTGATGCTCAAGGCCATCATCCTCATCGTCATCGAGAAAAACTGGCGATGTGATGCCATCGGAGCTCTTTGGATCCCCGATTTCGCCATGAAGAGGTTCCGTCCTTTGGGACAAGTGAAAGTCCAGATCCCTGTCGATGCGTCCGCAAATCTCCTTGGGCGCCTGGGCAAAGGGTTTTCTACAAAAGCGAACATTAAGTAAGGAATGAATGCCACGATCGTGTGTGTGTTTTAACCGACCAAAATCCGGATGCATACTTCTTGAACTGGATGTGCGGCGCACTCGGTGGCTTCTCGTCCGTTTTTCGCACCTCCTCCTCCTCGTCGGGATCCAGCAGCAGGGAGCTCTTCTTATCCGGTATAAAGGACAACTTCCTGATGTGCTCCAACTGGATTTGGGTCATGAAGATGCTGTGCTCTGTGGTGCGGGCAAACAAATCGTGGGTTAAATCGCATGCTACCCAACTTGCGTGGATACGCACCGCCGGATCCGAAGCAGATCACATGATTGTTGGCCGACATGAGGAGCAGCTTGGGCGGGAAGTGATGCTTGGGAAAGCGGATCTTGTACAGCACCGGGGCATTGTGGGTAAACTTGCCGCGTGTAAGTAGCTCGATTTCGCCCAGATAGTTCTGTGCGTACTAATGGGATTAGCTAATACCTGAATGGAACTACTCCACTTACCGTTGTGGGCTTGCCCCGCATCGAGAGCGTCACTCGGATGTGGAGCGGCTGGTGGCCATCCGGACTGCGCACGGCCATCAGGCCGAACCATTCGCTGCCGTCGAAGCGGTACTGAAACACCTTGGGGCACGGACTGATCGGCATTCCCTGGGCGACCGCCTTGGACACGTGCTCGATGCAGAGGATCAGGATGGCCGCCAGGTGCAGCCTCATCGTTAATGTCTGGGAATGCCCGGAAGAAAATGCTTTTCACTCACAACAAACGTAAACAATGCGGTGATCCCGGTTGAAGCTTTGACAGTCCGGGAACGCTGTGTGCATTTTATCCGCCAGTGGAGTTGCCAGACCAAGGAAATGTCCCCTGTTTATCAAAATGAGAGAAATGCCCACGAAGGGGATTTCATCCTTTAAATTCTCAGTTCCGTTCAAGTTTAAATTTTAAAAAGTTAACAAATAAAGTCTGGAAACATGCAGTCGATTAAAAATCGTGTTCGCAAGTATTTAGCATATACATTATTCTAGCTTTATAAATCCAGTGATAAAGTGATATTTTTATAAATTCAAAGTTTATTGTTTTCTATTTTAATTAAAGTAGGACTAGCAAGGCATTTGGTATTTTATATGAATATTTACAAAGAGATCGTTTGATATGATGATCAAGCTCCGAATTGCAGAGCCGCATTTATTTGAAATCGTCTGGGTTATTAGGAAAACTCATCCTCCTCGCCATAGCCCCATTCATCCTCGTTCTCCTCGTTGCCGAAGAATCGCTCCAGATCCTGCTCGGCCTCCGCCGGAACGGTGTCGGCGGTGAGCAGCTGGTCCTGATCCTCCGGACAGCCGTGGCAGCGACTCTCGTTGATGCCGTAGTTGAGACAATTCTCGCCGACGCACTCGCAGCATCCGTCGTGGAACCAGCGATAGCTACTGGCGCCCATGCTCTCGCACTGCTGCCGGCACTTGTTCGCCCGGATGCACGAGTTCACATAGATGACGGTGCATAGGGTGACGCTTGCGGAGCCAGCATTTCCATTACCATTTCCATTTCCGTTTCCGGCATCACCGCCAGTGCCGCCTTGAACGCGCTGCTTGAAGCCGGCTCGCATGGAGAACCGTATGGTGGACCATCCCTCGTCATCCTCGGCGGTTAGGGTATCGAACAGCTCGGGCACTCCCTCGATGTCCCCGATTTCCGATCGTGGTGTCAACGAGGGCAGGGCATCCGTGTGCTTGGGACACATGTCCAGACATCCGCAGCACTCGATGTATAGTTCGCCAAGGCAATTCAGGCAGTCCTTGCAGCAGTGGCAGTCATTCAACTTGCACTGGCAGCTCTGGGTGATTAGGCACTTGGACACCACCGATCCGCAGACCACCTCGTTGCATCCATCATCGTTGGCCAACGATGACCGCGGAGCCATTCCAATGAGAAGGATGACGGAGTAGCACAACAATTGCATTCTGGTCGAGATCTCGTGGCCTTATGATACATTATGCATGATTGCGGCATGCCTTTATATATTTAGATATATTAGTATCCAGATGGACAGGTAGCGAGCTGATCCTTACCACAATCCACTAATCCCCGAATTTCAAAATCAGGTAGTGGCCCACAACAGCCGGGCTGGTCATTTAAAACCATTTAGGAGCAACTCCCCCTATAAAATAGTCAAAAATAAGGGATGATCATCCCGAACTACCAACACTTTTAAGTCAGTTCTAGGACTTTAGCACTTCAAACAATACCTGTATTGTTGACTAATATTAACCGCCATAAAATAAGCCAATTAGGTAACATAAATAAAGTCCACTGGTTGGGTTGATGCAAGAACGCAGATTGGTAAACCTACATATATCTTAACCGCAATCAGGTATTATTTGTTCCATGGACTTAACCGATATACATTTATATTTGCTGAATTTTTTTTGTAAGAAACAACTTTTGGCAAAAATGCTATATTTACAAATTGCAAAAAATCCAAAAAAAAATGTAAATTCCCAAATTTATTTATTTGCATCATCCAAAATCTATCATCAAAATTTGCAAAAAATTTAAAAAAATTAAAATTCCCAAATTCGAATACAAATCGATTGGGATTTAAATAACGAGCTCAACGGGGTATGACATTCCACATTTGGGCCATTATTTCGAGTGTTCTGACCAAAATACTGATTTTTTGTTTACAAAAAATCTGGGAATCGATTTCTGTTAAAAATGCAATATTTCCGAATGGTTTTTTCTGTATAACTTGGCTAAAAATGGTCACACAGCTAAGGTAATTACAGTTTTTTGCTCCTAATTACCAATACTAATCATCCCTATCACTTTTTGTCCGAGTTGGGAAAATCAATTTTTTGGTCAATTTTCGCATTTTTTGTAAGGGGTACCATCATCAAAATTTGCAAAAAATTGAAAAAAATTAAAATTCCCAAATTCGAATACAAATCGATTGGGATTTAAATAATGAGCACAACGGGGTATGACATTCCACATTTGGGCCATTATTTCGAGTGTTCTACCCAAAATACTGATTTTTTGTTTACAAAAAATCTGGGAATCGATTTCTGTTAAAAATGCAATATTTCCGAATGGTTTTTTCTGTATAACTTGGCTAAAAATGAGGTAATTACAGTTTTTTGCTCCTAATTACCAATACTAATCATCCCTATCACTTTTTGTCCGAGTTGGGAAAATCAATTTTTTGGTCAATTTTCGCATTTTTTGTAAGGGGTACCATCATCAAAATTTGCAAAAAATTGAAAAAAATTAAAATTCCCAAATTCGAATACAAATCGATTGGGATTTAAATAACGAGCTCAACGGGGTATGACATTCCACATTTGGGCCATTATTTCGAGTGTTCTGACCAAAATACTAATTTTTTGTTTACAAAAAATCTGGGAATCGATTTCTGTTAAAAATGCAATATTTCCGAATGGTTTTTTCTGTATACCTTGGCTAAAAATGGTCACACAGCTTATTATTTTTCTACATTACTTGGCTAAAAAAGTCGGCCAATGGCCATTCCATACCTGTACATTATATGCGTGTTATAGTTCAGACACTGATGATAAGGATACCCTGTTAAACTATTTGTAAAATTCGCAAGATCTTGTTGCCATTCCTCGCCATTTCGTCGTTGATTGGGTGCGCCGCCACTTAATTAAAAGTATCTTCGGAGACTTATTCTCGTTCATATCAATCCCTATCACTATCACTCGAGGTGTACACAGAGAACACGGCCGATATCTTTACGGCTCTAATGTAATTGGGATTTGGCCGACGGTGTTTGCCAGCTGACGTAAGCAGCTAAATATTTTCATTTTCTTATCAGTTTTGCTTTTGTTTAGCTGTAGAGACATTTATTTATATATCTAGAGCCGAGGAATAAGGTACATTGTATGTATATGCTTTATTGGAAACACACACACTCTTGCCCGTCGGTTATTTACAGTATTCGTTAAATAATAGCAACTAGTGACACAATATTTCCAACAAATCGTAATAAAGTATAATACAAATTAGATGTAGGCAAAAAAAAAGTGGTATAAAGTAATGGATATGGTAGATATGCATATGCATATGCATATGGAAAACCGCTGCACGTCCGATTTTTTGTACTCTCCTTGTTGATTTCCTCCCAAAATCATCGAGCATATTGCACAAAAGTAGTATCGAGAATTCTTGATCAGTTGCCGAACTTGATGGACTTTTCCGCCTGATGGGAAGAGCCGTGGTTGAAGCTGGCGCTGCTCCGATTGCTGCCGTTCTTCAGGATGCCATTGGAAGCGGGCTCTCCGTTCGTTTTGCGCAGTGCACTTCCGGTTTGCGTGTCCCGCTTCCCCGTCGTCCGCTGATCCCCATACTCCCCTATGGTCACTGTGCCCAGTCGCAGGGTTCGCCTCTGCTGCTGGCTCGCGGCCACATCCCGTCCAGCAGCCGCTGCGCTTCCTGGCGGAGATCTCAGCTGCACGGCATCGTAGTCGGGCTGGGGCGTGGCTGGTGGTCGGAATCCGCCCACACTGATGCTGGCACTGCGCATGGGCGACATGGGCTGCTTGACCTTGGCCACACTGCCGTTGCCCAGCCCAGTTCCATTTCCATTTCCGCTTCCACCGCCACTTCCGCTTCCGTTCGCCACTCCGTTTCCGGTCATCAGCTTGAGCTGCTGGGGCGGCACCTGCTTTGGCTGGGGATTGGCGAACTGTGGTGGCTGCAAAACGGTTACGAAATCATTTAGCTGCGATGGCTTTTAAGTTTTGGATGGAGAAATGCCGCCAGGCCTGGCCAAAAATCTAGGCAACATTTATAGCCACCAAAGGCGAACCACCACAGAAAAAGTAGGAGATTTTGAAAATTTGAGTTTCGAGCTTAGTGGGAGGTAGTTTTATTGATAGCTGCAAGGCTGGACTAATCTTAGGTCTTAGGTCTTCTGGCCTTTTGGGTGGCAACTCGGACACGGATCATTCGCTTACCGGTGGCGGCAGTTCCGGCGACCCACTGCCATTCGCCGGACTGACTCCGTTCTGGGGCTGCAGGCGACTGCTGTTGCTGAAGTTGCCCGTGTTGGAGTTGCTGCTGCTCCTGCTGCTGCTGAAGCCATTGCTGCTGATACTATTCCGATAACAGCTCTCATCCGGCATAATCGAGGTGCGTTTCAGCGTTTCACCGCGCTCCTGCAAAGGAAAAAACGAAATAGCAGGGGATGAACCCAGGTTAGCAGTGGATCAGCAAAGTGCCTGCTGTGCCCTAAAACTACCTGGTAGGTGGACATGGTCACCAGAGGACGACCCATGCTGACTGGTCGCATGGTGGGCATGCCACCTGACCCCTCCCCGCCACCCGCTCCACCGCTTTTCACGCGCAGCAAACTCATTTTCCGGCCGTAATGTGATCTTTCCACCAGCGCACTCTTGCCAAGACTGGACAACTTCGGCGGCGCAGTTTGGTTCATCGTTCATCGTTCACCGTTCACCGTTCAACGTTCTACGGTCGGCGTCTCGTCGATTAGATAAAGCCATTGAGGGGTAGTCACTGAACAGTCAGCTCCAAAATACACCCATTCACAACACCTGTTTACTCTTGGCCATTTGTTTGCCCGATTTTGTTGTGGTTTCTCTAACCTGCGCTCTCTCCGCCCGTGAGTCATCCGCCCAACTTGGGCCCAAATTGGCCAGGAGTGGCGTCTACCCATGTCCGCTGAAGAGGCACTGATAACAACTGGAGTGTCATTGGCAAACGTAGGTATTTGATTGATTTTCGCGGAACTGCAAGCTCTAATTGCCTTTTAAATGAATACCAACATGCACATTTGTAGGAACTCCACTAGAAATATCATCATCAACACTCAATACGACGGATATATACGACTTAAGCAATAGCTAATTATGGCCAAATTCGACCAACAGTTGGGTGCACCAACCATTTGGCCAATGATCGTCGCAATCAGGGCCACATACTAGTTCAGCTCGGTTATATGGCCAATGCAATCTGGAGAGTCTGTTGTCGCGGCGCTTATCGATTTGGCCGATAAGATGCAATCGCTGAGTGGGGAACCCCCACCCCCATTATTACTCATTATAATGGAGCCCCTACCCCTGCATTCAAATGATAGTGCCACGAGTGGCCAGCTACTTGGGTTGCCGCTCGGTTGGGTAATAGCGGCAATCAACGATGGCCTGGGAACGGGTGTCTTGTGTTGGGGGATTCGAGGGGCTGCCAGCCACGACAAGTGCAGTCTGTGGAGCTGGCTCTCTTGACCTTTGCGAGTAGCCGACTAGCCGAATCAGTGGATCTGCGATGTGACTGCTGCGTCTCGGATGTTGCTCACCTTGTGCTCGCTCTCGTGGAACCCGTTCCTGAACATTCGCTGGTGCGCCCGCTTGAATTCGTCCATCAGCGCCGTGTGCTGATCTCCGCCAGCTCCACTGGAACCACCTGACCCACCTGCTCCTCCAGCGCCTGCCAAATTGCTAGTGCGTTCGCTGCCCTGCAGTGTTGCAGCCACGCCAGCAACATTCGCCCGCTGGCGATGGGACACTTGGCCGCTGGAGCCGCGGTGCCCTCCATTTGCAACTCCATTTCCATTGTGGCTCGTCGGCTGACGATCCACGTTTCCATTTCCACTCACATCCCGATCGCGATCTCGATTGCTGCGCTGCTGCTGCTGCTGCTGCTTCTGCAATGATTCCAATTAGTTGCTGGTGGGGCAATCTTTCATTGTGCACTTCAAATAAAAAAGGGGTCACTTCAGCACGATATTTTGAAGATATTCAAAAGCAAGTGGGATATAAAATTACTTGATATAAAACTAAAATATATTTTTGTCGGGTTTTCTAGAAGTACTTTTACCTCTTTGCGCTTCTTGAGCTCCTCGGTTATGGCACTGGAGAGACTGCTGCCCACGGAGCCACTGGCACTGGCTCCTTCATGCATGGCCGGCGGCGGTGGAGCAGGAGCTGCGCTGACTCCACCTGATCCTGATCCTGATCCAGCGGATCCAGCAGATCCGCCTGCTAAGCCGATGCCGGATACGGAGGAACTAACCGGCCTCAGCTGGCTGCGCTTCATGGTGGTTGAATTGCGGGTTGGATGCGATTGGGACTGCTGACTGCGGCCGGAAGTTCCGCTGGCCGAAGAGCCGGAACCGGAACCGGAAACGGAACCCGAAACGGAACTGCCACCGGAACTGGCTATATATGTGTTGTTTATGGAAGTCCCATTCTCCGTCAGCTTTATGATGGTCTTGTTCATCTGCTTGTGCACCTCGACGCCCTGCGCCCAATTTGGACCACCTGCGCCGGGTGCCGAGCTCAAGCCACCTCCTGCTCCACCTGCGCCGGCACCGGACTCCTCCCTGACCGCCGTCAATCGCTTGGACTTGGCGTCCGCCCAACAAGGACTCTGATCCCCCGTCACCGAGCTGGCAGAGCTATTGTAGCCACTGGATTCACCCGGAAAGAGGTCGCAGCCGGCCGCCGTGCGCACCACCATGTCCAGTTTGCTGCTGCTCTTCATCACGGCCACCGCCTCGCTGAAGAGGACGTCCGAGAAGTCGATGCTGTTGACGCTGAGGATCTGGTCGCCCGGCCGTAAGCCCGCCTCCCGGGCCACACTGCGCTCCTTAGTGAACTGCACAAAGATGCCCGGCTTCCACTCGGGACCCTTGCAAATCCCCAGTCCTAGCTTCGTCCTGGGCGCCACATGGAGCACCACACTGATGTCCCGGCTGGCACCGCGTCTTTCGCCCTTGAAGGAACTCTCCGAGGGAGTGCCGCTCACGCTGGGCAACTTAACCACGCTCCACGATAGGCGTTCCTCCGGCAGGCTAAGAAGTTCAGCATGAGTATATTCCAACTTGGCATTGTCTAAAGGTCTGTTGCACTTACTCCCTCACTGGCAGCATGCCCACACCACGCACTTTCAGGGTCACCCGATCCTGGCCGGCCACCAGTTGGATGAACTCCTTGTGCACGGCATCGTCCAGGCGAAAGCCATTGATCCGCAAGATCTGGTCGCCAATCTGCGGGAGAAAGCACTGCGTAAGTGGAAGACCTTGCCCTGCAATCCCTCACGTAGTGCTACGTGATCGGAATTTTCGGTTGAACCGCGGGTGCGGTGCCCCAGTGACTGGGTGACATGGTGACCCACTACTCACCCGCAGACCCTTCAGCTGTGCCTCGCCGCCGTGCTCCACATGGGACACAAAGAATCCGGTGCCATGTTCCCGTCCGCCGCGCACCGTGAATCCGTAGGTGCTGCCCCTCTCCGGTCCGCCGACCAGGAGTCGCCTCTGATGCGGCCTCACCAGGCGCAGAACGCGGAGGCGGGAGCTCGCCGGAATGGCGCACCACGAGGAGGCCGCCGTGGTCGTCAGGGTCATCACATCGCTGGACGCCGAGCTGGTCGTCGATCCCTGGATGCTGCTGCTGCAGTCCGTCGAGGCCGAGTTGGTCAGCGATGCGGATGTGGCTATCAAAGCCGAGGCTGCTGTCAACGCCATCATGTTGCGGATTGTCCTCACAGGCAGCTGCAGCAAAGGAAAGCCAAATTGAATATGTGGATTGTTATTTATTTATAAAAATAAAATGTTACAATAATGTTAAGAAAACTGAGGGGCTAATGAGTCCAAAGGCCTCAGTTGCATTCTAAAACCTTATGCACATCACTCAGAAAACGAACTTGAAGAGTTGCCAAAAAGCGAATTAAGTGGACTCCGTGCGAAAGTTGAAGAAAGTGGGGAGTGTCTTCCCCTCCTCACAAACAAAAAACAAAAAACGAAACCGATTCGCGACGTGAACAGCCTGACAAGTAATGAACGCAGTGGAGGCAGCAGACACAACCAGTATGAATGCTTCTTGGTGGATACAAATAAAGTGGGCAAAACTTGAACTTGCAATCGAAAATTTTCCGAATTGGGTCACACGCATCGGCAGAGGCGGCGCTGCCGGTGGCTGGGCTACACTGAGAAAAATTCCGGGCCGCTGCAAGGCGGTAGTAAGATCAAATAAAACTAAAAGTTTTATGATATTATAATATGATAATACTATGATTATTATATAAAATATAATATGATTTTATATGATATTATAATATGATATAATATGATAATATAATATGATAATAATAATTATATTCAGTAATATAAATTAAGGAGTTGTATCCATTAAAAGGAAGAGAAGCAAGGATCGTTTGTATTTAGCTTAAAGATATTTGTTTGGGAACGTGCAAGCTAATGGGAGCACAGAGGGGCACCCGGCTTTTCGCCCGGTGTAGAATTGGTGCTGGTGGTGCCTGCTTTCACGCACCACTGCCAGCTGGTGGAGCTGGGGAGCTGGGGAGCTGGTGAGTTGGTAAGCCAGAGATCTGAGGCGATTTACATTCACTGCCGCCGCCGTCGCATAATTTCACTTTTTCACGTAATTCTACGCTTCACTTGCAGCTCGAAGAGCAGCAACAACAAAGAGCGCGAAGGAAACTGGGGAAAATTATAGAAATTTATTATTGAAATTATGCGGCTGCCCGCGGGCCTTGCACTATGCACTTCGATTTGGGGCGAATCAGCTATTTGTTGGCTGCCCGGCTGCCGCATAAATCATTTACTTTGCCAAAAGTTCAACTCACTTACCAGCGAACCGAAGACAATGTACCGTGGAAAGGGAAAAGAAGGGGAAAGGCGCTGGATGCCGAGATGTGAACCCAAGTTGCCTCAGTTACCCACTTACTGAGCCACTGACGCAAGTGGCAATTACTTGGATCAAAACATTTATAATTGCCCGCCGCCTAATGGTGAAATATGAATCGGAATTTTGAATTGCAATCCGAATGGGAAAGATATAAATCATTCGATAATCGGCAGCTCGTTGGCTATGGGAAAGATTATGGCGGCGGAAAAGTGTGTCGAGTGGATGATAATTGCACTATATAGAATTGGGTTATGTGAGTTGCCGAAGAAGTAGTGATTGATTTAATGGGTATGCTCAAAAGTTTAAATAACTGACCGATTACTCAGCGCGCTGTGTATGTTATTATCAACTATTATCCAAATTGTGTCATCAAAACTAAACGATTTCGCCAATCAGTATTGCTGTCATCTGGATAAATTGTTTAAGATGAAAAGTTACGTGATTCCAAAACCAATTGTGTCATCGATGTTCGATTAATAACTGAAAGCTGCGGCTGTTAATTAAAAACTCCAGGGGTCATTATTTCACTTTCTCAGTGAAATATGCATAACAAAAACCAATCGTACTACTTCAAATTGAATTGACAGACAAGCATTGATTTAAAAAATGCTGCATTCAACGCACATCCGCTGGCAATTTGACATCCCAGCCATTCCGCCGATTAGCGACAATTATCGGTGGTTAAGTTCAGACCCAGACCCAAATACCTGGGCTTTTATCTCGATAATGGAGGAGTTTCCCGAGCTGCCAGACAAAGATCTCGCTTGGCGATGTCGATGAAAAGCGGCAGCATGCAACTTGCAACATGCAACTAGCAGACGGCAGCTGCACCACTCCCTTTTCCTTTCGACAGTTAATGACAATAGAAAGAGCGACATAATAATAACAATGATAATGATAATCTGTTTCTGTGGCCGCCACGAATTATTTGGCAGTTACAATTAAGTTTCGACAAACAACTGCAGCAGCGGCAAGAAAGTGGCAGCCAAAACAAAAGCGAAGAGGCCAACGTCTCTGACGGCCTTTCACCTGTTGAATGTCGAAAAAGCAACTGCCTCACCGCGCAATCCCCCGCTTGACCCCCTCTTGACCCCTGCAATTAGTTCTAATGAGTTGCTGCTGCTGCTGCTGCTGCTGCTGCTGCTGCTGCGGCATCTACAACTTCCTGTCACGCCTCAGATTTCCCCCCGCTTTTACTGCTTTTCCCGCCACCGTGTTGACACTTTCCGTTCGGTTTCCGTTTGGCAATTGCTCAGCTTTGGCTCAGACTTTAATTGAAAAAGCAAAAAAGTACAACAAAATAAAACACGAGGGGTAAATACAAAGCGAGAAAGAAATAAAAATAACAAGCCTTGACCACTGGCTGATTTTTATTTCCATACGAATTTCATGCTTGGCAATTCCTCGGAAATGTGCGAAGAAATTTTCTCGGCCACGCTGACAACAAAAAGTAAAAATCTGTTTTTATCGCCTTGTTTTTTGGTTGCGTCTTCTTGGGCAGCTGAAATGTAGTAATTATTTGTGGACATGACTTTCTCTGCACATATGCATGCGCACATGGTATAGTTTCAGTTGTCCAGCATCCCGTTGGGCATTTTCCACATGGACTTTTAGTGCCCTGCCTTTATTTTTGATGCTTTTCATGTTTTTCATTATCTTTATTTTTTACCCCCCACCCCCCTCACGTAGCACTGCGGTGTGTGTTCTCCGCATTACATGTGCGTGACAAGCGCGTTAAGTGCTTTCCCATTCGTTGGACTCGCATTAACAACGGTTCTCTTTAAACTGATAATCACGCCCGAGTTTTGTTTCTGTTCTTTGATTGCAGCTCGCAATTTCACTCGAAAATGTGGAGTACATCACCATCGTACGTCCATTTCGTTAGCCCTGAGTCACGATCGAGGGAAAGTCGTAAAGGAGCGCTGATCGATCGAGTTCTATTCAACGCGTATTGAATGATTTATAGCCCCATTCGCCCAAGTGCGTTGGGATAATAGCCCGTTTACACGCAAGATCTCATCAATTGGTCAAGGTCTGGGTAATGCCTGGCCATAATCAGTTTTAAATACAGTACAAATATTTTAGGGAATTCACTAAGGCAGCTTATTAGTTACGGATTTCACCACCTGCACACTGCAATTAAGTTGTGTGAAATCTTCATCGTAAATTATCTGAAGTCAAGGGCGATTGACAAACGCTTGGTGTTCAGTGGGCTAATCTTTCAATCAGCGCTTTCTTATAGAGGGAGACATCCACGCCAGCCATCCAACTCCATGAATGCCGCCGCGTTGGATCTTCAAACTGAGTTATCTCGCGTTCGTTGCCTAAGTCTTTTGATTGAGAGATTGCAGCAACGAGCGAAAGACGGGCTGTTGCTCTGCTTTGCCTCGCCTGTAATTATGAGTACATTGGGCATGATTTAATTGCCCACAACACAAAATGGAAATATTTGCACGTATGCATGCGGCATTTCTCCATATTTTCACATTTGAATAGGCAGGAGCAGCAGCTGCTGAGCGAAATTACAATAAATAAAAGAGAAATTTCTGTCGAATTTGTCGTCCGTCGGACACACACGTGTGCGCTTGGATTGCATGCATCCAGCATGTGGCATGTTGGTAGTGTTGCTGCAACTGCAGCTCCAACTGCATCTGCTGCTGCTGATGATGCGCACCTGCGCCCAGGCTTTTACTTCCGCCGCGGCAATCAGGCAAACGCACGACTGACAACGTGACAAATTGTCGATAATCTAAGCAGCATCCTCACCAGCTGCCGTCCGCCGAGGCATTTTTCTGGTGAAAACTCCGCTTGGCAAGGCTTATCGCCAAATTTGCAAGCAATGTCAAACGTGGGTTATGCCACCGAGGAGGATGCGCCATGGCCATAATCGTGATGCAGCGCCTCAGCAACTCCATAAATACCGAATGCGGCTGTCGTGCGCAAGGAAGCCAATGGCAACTTGCAACTGGGGACCAGCACCCAGCATCCAGCAACTTGCAACCCGGCAAGTTGCTGGCTGGGAATCTGCTCCTTCGTCTGGAGAAAGCGCCTTGTGCACTTTTACTCCGTCTCATTTTAATTGCAGAACATTAACAGCGATGTGTGGGGGTTAAAGGAAGGTGACTGCGCCTGCGCCTGCGCCTGTATCGCCTGCTTTCACCTTCAGCCAATTAGGTGCAGCTTATGCAACAGCCGAAAAGGATTGCTTCACACAACGGACACAAGAGGCAGGGGCAAGCCTGGAGCAAACTATGCCATGCTACTGTTAGAATAAACAATTCAGAAACAGTTTCCGCCTTGGAAACTCAAAGCACATATTATATTATATTTGTGGCCATAAATCGATTGAGTTAAGACGCTTTGCGTGTGTGGCAATGGGACAAAGCCAAAGAGCTGGGTGAAACCCGCGGCTGGCAAAACAATTTTAATTTTGCGCTTCAAATCATTTGGAGTTTGATTGCGTGCAAGATGAGCTTGCCACCGCTGCCTGCCGCTCATTTGCCTGATTGCGTCAGCTGGAAATTGGCAGTCACAGCAACTCCAGCAACTCCAGCAACACCAGCAACACCAGCAACATTCCCGCCCAGCAGCTGCACAATGGGCAAATGACAGCATTGCGGCTGTTTACTCTTGCTGCCCACTGTATTTTTTGGCGGCGAAATGCAACAGCAGCAACACTGGAAACTCTAGAAACACCGCAGACGGACGACTGGCTGCAACATCATCGGTGGCAAGCTGCAACAATCGCATCATCAAGCGATGCCGTTGCTGCTATTGAACTTTTGCTATTTGCCCAAGATTCCCACACACCTGCTGCAGCATTGAGTTGTTGTTGCTGCTGTTGCAGCTGCGACTTTGGCTGCTGCTGCTGCTGCCACCCACTTGCAGCGTGTGAAACGTTGAACAACTTTTTGTCCAAGGCGTGACACGAAACTTTGTTTCAAGTACGTTTGCCGTGTGTAGCGCCCTGCAGCAAAATGATGGGTGCCGCTAAAAAGCCAAGAAAATAATGATGAAAAAACCGAGGGTGTTGCAAAAGGGGTAAATGACCGCTGGTGGCGGCAAAAATTGAATTGTTTTGCATAAATTGATGTTTCACCGTAGCCGTTTTCGGTTTCGGTTTCAGTTGCAATTGTGTCTGTTTGCATTCGAGGGTGTTGCTTTTAATTGAAGTGCCATGCTGTCCGTTCCCACTCAACTACACTGTTAAAAAAAACCAGCTAAGGTCGCCACACACAACAGGAAAATATTTTTCCCAGTGCAAGTGTGTTTGATTTCCTAATACATTTGCATCGCCAACCAGTTGAAAAGAGACCGAACTATTTCCCATTTGACTTTGTTCATTTACCTTATGAATATGACAAAATGAAGCTGACAATGGGTAGCTGATATGCTGATATTATTGTTGTTTTCTTCCCCCCACCCTGTGTACCCCTTACCGCAATCCCTTTTCTGTCCAAGTTGCCCACGCGAAGCAGCTGCCCAAATTCAACGAAGGCGAAGGAGATTCAGCTGCAGTTGGAGACGGGGGCAGGAGATGGAGATTGGAGATGGAGCCACAGCTGGCGGCCCAGCTGCCACTTCTAGGTATTTTTCCGTGGGCGCAGGAGAGGATTGGCGGCGCAGCAAACTGGATTGGATGGGCGCGGCTTGGTCGAAGCCATCTGCAGATCATCACCTTCTTGCCACAGCGAAAGTTGCAGCGAAATCTGGCCGGGGAATTCTAGAGCGGCACAGCCAGTCATGCCCATTGCTACCCTGTACCTCCGGGGGATTAACCCATAAACACCATCTTAATGGCACTCTTTCTGAGACCCTCTTCTATCTACTAAAAGTGTAATTATCCACTCAAGGAAGGCAACCCACTGTTAGAACGTTGAGAATTTCCGTTTGTCTATGTTAATTTCTATAAAATATCCTCAGCTAACTTGCTATTATGATAGTAATTGCTTTAGAAGAACATAACTAAAGAATTTGTACCAGTATGACTCGGAAAAATCATGGGAAACTCTAATTACCGCAGCAAAAACGAAACAGTAAGCAAACGTTTACTTTTCGCTAATTTAGCAACGGCGGCTAGTGGGTTAAGTTGGCTAAAAGGCTTATCCTATGCCACAAATGCCAGTCTTGGTAGATTCGGCAGACTCGGCAGACCTGGTGGAAAGCCCAACCAGTCCGAGAGTCGCCGCCAAATGTCCGTCCTTCTGCTTGTCCGCCAAGTCCGCCTGGCAAAAATGCCATCTGAGGCTAACTGGGCGGCGAGGCGAACTGGTTGCCCAGGCCGTTTGGTGCACCGAAAATATTTGGGAATGGTTTCATGGTGTTCTTCAAATTAAAATAATATACGAGTAAAAAGTTTGGGGATATCGTAATAAGATAAAGTACGTCTAATTAAACATGTATCTCAAGGATGCAATACTTTGGCTATACCTCTGGAAAATGATCCCTATTATGTAACCATTACTGGACCACTGAAGGGTTTCCATCTAGCAGGAAGAATGGTAAGCATGTGAAGTACTTCTATCGCGCTATATGTGGTTCATGGCTGGTTCCGAAGGATTTTCTCCGCGTGTGGTGCAGCTGGTGGTGCGGTGGCTTGAATTACAAAAGGAGCTGAGCCGAGCGGAGCCGGGTTTCAAGTTAGCCTGGGCAGCCGAAGGCAGCGGCGGCAACCGTTTTTGCCTCATTGCTTTTTATTATAATTTCAATTTTGTGTATCTATGAGATACGCGCAACGTGAATTGGCATTTTCCATTTGGCAATTTGCATGTGCAATGCAATGCGGGCTCCAAGATCTGCAGAAATCCAGAGATCCAATGACTCCCAGATCCCTGCGAAGCAGTTCGGGTAATTAAAGAGCCATTAACGCCCCATCATCATGGGAATGGATTGCAAATGCTGATGCTGATGACGATGATGACGATGATGACGAGTATCCGCGATGACGCGGTGGCGTTGGTGGCGTTGTCCAGGAAATGCAATTAACCGATTGGCCCACAAGCCGCGCTCATTCGAAAGTCGCCGTTTTGTGGGACTCTGCTGTTTGTTGCTTTGTTGTTAACTATTTGCTGTTTGTTGTACGAGCCAAAGTGTGCCTGTTATTGTTATTGCCATGGCTTCAACCCACCGCCGGCCCATTGGCCAGGTGCTCACCAGGTGAGTGCCCGTCCGCGGCTCGAGTGTCCAAATTGCTGGCGGGGATTGCATAAGCGGCCCAGCCAAGATGCAATGATCAATCAGGCGGCCCAATCAGTTAGCCAGTCCATCAATCATAACGAGGCCCTCACTCGCTGGCTCATTTTCAAGGAAACCGCTGCTGCGTAATCGATTCTACGGGCGGTCTTCGAGAATCTCGTTTATCAGCCGCGATCCGCACTCTTGGCACACATTTTCCACTGACTATAGTTTTCCAGTCCCCCATAAGCCCAAGTACAGCTTTTCACATCAATTTACCACGTGGGATTTCCAATGCCTCGAAACCAATGCAAAGCACTCATAAAAATCCTTTAGTATGGAGAGATCATTTCAGCATATATTATGTAAATACCTTATTTTACTTCTGGTTTTAAAAAGCACAAATATAATTATAAGTGGAAGATACGCATCTTTAGCCGTATATTTTATTTGGGTCTGGGCGTTGATAGATTCGTGACTTATTTCGGCAGTGAGAACTTTCTTATTTTCATTTCTCGAGATCTTCTCCATGAACTTCAAAGTTTTTAGAGCAAATCTAACACGAAGATACAGCAATAACCAGGGCAACAATAACAAACAGTTGAAGGCCGACAATTAGCGCGTTATTTATTAATATCTGAAAATTGTGTCGCCCGTTAAGCGGTTTACAGATGGCGGCTACCAAGACGACAATATAATGGCAACAATAAAAGCCAGGCCAAGGCATTAAGTTACATGTTCAAACACATACTGTGGAGATGAGTGCACAGAAAGATTGGGAAAAATAGTCAAAAGCAGTATGGGATACAAGATACAAGCTATTTGTTGATATCCAAAATCGTGTCAGTTGATTCATCGTTTAACAGCCTTTGACTAGCATTTATTTTAGAATTCGCCAACTTATTTTCCCTGTGTACTTCATGGTGGTGCAATTTGCGTAGTTTATTTATTATTTTATTTTTTACCTCATTTGCGGTGCGGGCGTCCCGAGAAGAAGAAAAAGAAGCGCCTGAAGAATTCTCCGCACGAAGACTAGCAATTAGAGCGCGGCAGCAACAACAACAGCAAGCACTCGCGCACACGCTCGCAGAATTCTTGCTGAATCTGGGATCTCGAAATCGCAAGCAAAAACAAAAGGCAAAAAGCAAAAAAAAAAAGCGGCGGAAAAGCAAAGAGTCGCGCTGCACTTTACACTTTTGTGGCTTGAAGCGCTCAGGTGAGACAGGTGCAGCGTTTATTTTGCCCGCCAGCACTTTCCGCACTTTTTTCTGACCCCAAAGTCGAACTAATGCACTCAAAAAAAATCGAAAAACCACACGCGCTAATATATATTGATATGTATATTTTTCAAGCCGGCAGCGTTGACGATATATTCTTTGATTCGGAATATTTCAAACTCGAAATAGAGTTGTTATCTATTTAGGCGACCAGGTTTTCCGCTGTGACGACGTGAATCCCGCGAGAAGCGACGACAAATTGAAGCGGTAAATAAATTGGAGCCGTCGTCAAAGTGACCGCGCAACTGGAAAAGCTTAAGATACCAAAAAAGCTGTAGGCAAACCAGTTTTCCACACTTCGTTCGCTTTTGCGCAGAAGCTACCAGATGCTCGAACCAGCACTTCAAACTTCACCATTTGGTGAGCTTTTCGGCGACTTTAGTTCAAAATAAAATGTACAGAAATTCTTCGTAATCATATATAACAAAATCCACTTTTTAAGTTGCTTAGAAGTGAGTCCTCCATATAAACGATCGTTTTTATGATCACCACTTACCGCTGATCTGGCAACGTTGACTGTACTGTTATCTCCCAAAGCTGCAGTGTGACCAACACAGTTTCCAACGCACTTGAAACTCCGCAATAAAACACACATACCATTCACATTTGTTTAGTAAAGTTGCGAAAGCGTTGTGGAGTCGTTTATTCTCATTCATTCATGTTACAAATGCACTCTTGGAGAGTTTTAGTAATAGCCTAGCGCGATCGCGGTCTTTTCTTCATATCTTCTACACTTTCTGCGGGCCTCGGCAACTGCACTCTTCGCACTTACACTTACAAGTCAATAGAAAGATATAGATTGAGAGTCGAGATGGGCAAGTAAATAACACAAGTACATGGTTCTCTATATTATATATATATATAGTATATATACACAGACATATATATATATATATATATATACTGTATACGACGAAGCGAAAATAAATGTATATTTGTATAGATTTATAATAATAGTATATGTATAGATTTGTAGCGCTGTTGCTAATAGTTTTCACATATAAAAATGTTTCCTTTGTTAGACATTTACAACATTTATATCCAAGTGGCAACTATAATACATATAAGTACATTTATGTATATCAATATATAACTCTTTAGATCTTTATATAGGCATATAACTGTACGTAGCTGTCTGTATATATATGTAGGTATCGGTATCATTATTAGCTGGGAGCGGGACCAAACGATGGTGGGACGGAGGCAGGAGAACCCGGAGTTCTAAATATGTATATATGTACTGCCCGATTCCTGATCTGCTCCGATCCCTGATATTATGTATGTGGCATGTGTGTGGGGGCTTGAAAATATAGGCTAGTAAGCTTTGATTTGATAGTGCGGCAAGGTGGCTAGAATTTGTTCGGTTACAATACTTCCGATATTTTCCATATTTTTCTCTTAGGTACGCACACTGGTACAAAAGTATGCAAGTATTTGTTTAAAGGCAGCGCGGGACTACTTGGACACACATATGTTTGTTTTTTTTAGTATAGGCTCTATGTGTACGCGTTTGTGATCTAATCGTTAATGGTGGTAATCGTGGATTAATGGGCGGCACTGATTTTGTGTTAGTTAACATTCGCTATAAGTTTACATAGGTTACACTCTTAATAAATATATTTATATATATATATATATTTAATTTACTGTTTTTAGGGCGCGGCAGGTGCTCGCTGATACATCTTTACAATATTAGAAGTCGAAAAGTGCTGGGAAAGGGGGCGTGGTTGGGGGCTAAACGGGAGCAGGAGGAGCGGGGGCGGGGCCGTGCAGGGGCTAAGTGTGAGAAAGTCTTGACTAAATGTAATGTACAGGACTACGTTGTCTACGCTTCATCGTCATCTTCATCCTCTAATCACAAGATGATATCCTACATATCTGATATCCTTGCAATGCATCGACATTGTTGTACTTTCGATAGATTTGCTTTTTTGTGCTGGCATGTTGAGCTTTTACTTTGAAATGGTTTGCCTGCTGTGCTGGGAACCGCGGGCGATAGGGACAAATGGAGAGTCTGCGAATAGTGTGACCAACGTTGCTAGTAAGGCATGGCAATTATTCATAAAAAGGACGTATCAAACGTATCTTGAAACTTTTTAAAACTGTAATACCTGCTCATTAGTCAATGAATAATACAATATTTGAATACTCTACGTAACATCGAGTTACAAGATAATACTGATACTGATAGCACTGAGGTACAGATACTCTATAAAGATTACTGGAGTATATTCATTTACACACCACAAATATGTAGGTTTTGGTAACACGAACAACACGGACTACACTGTCACTTTCTAGGGCACAGCTGAGGACATTGTGGCAATTACCCATTGATATACTTGTGACATATAGTTGGCCGCACTGAAGCATCAACCCTCCACCAACGGAGAGAGACAGATGTAGAGAGTGAGACAGAGAGAGCTGAGATGCAGACGTAGCTGTAAATTAGCCATTCGCGGGAGCGGGTGCGGGAGCGGGAGGGGGAGGAGGATTACTTTCGGAGGACTTCTGGAAGGAGGAGGAAGGATCCTTTGGTAGGGGCAGGGGCTGCGCCTACAGATCAAAATAAAACTCAACAAGCATGGCCTAAAACTGGTTGACCTTCAGCTCGTTGCCCTGCAGCTGGACTAAACGGAAGGCCTCGCGAATAGTCGGGGTCATTAGGAGCTTGAGGTTCTCCTCGGCCTCGCCGGGCAGCGAGCGCAGAAGCTCCATGGAAGCCACCACAAGCTGAGCGAGGGCAGCCCTCTTGTAGTTGGAGTCTTTGAGGATGCTGCTGGCCCGCTGCTGCTCTATTTCCGGCGAAATGGACTCCGCCTCCGAGGATTTGGCCTGTCGATTGGTGTCGAATGGGTTGCTGCGGCACTTGGGCTGAAACTCGCTGATCAAGGTGGTCATGGTCACATTCTCCTCCTCCTGCAGCTGGACGCACTTGCTGGGCGAGGTGCTGCTGCCGGATCCGGATCCGGAACCGGAGCCGGAACCAGAGCCCGTGTCTGTCATTTCGGCATCTCCGTTTCCGTTGAGGGAGATGCACATGGGCTTGGTCTGCGGATGGTGGAGCAGCTGCGGCGGCTTCTGGCGCAGCTTGCCCGAACCACTTTCGATCTCATGAAGGGCAGAGTTACTCAAGTACAGTTCACATACCAGATTCCAGGCGTCCTGCAGGCAAAACAGATATCGCACAAAATTCTCCTTCTTCTTCACTGTGGTGGTGTTCAGGCGGGAGCAGGACTCCAGAATAAAGTTCAGATCCTCCGGTCCCAGATTGTACACGACAATGTCGTTGAGGTGCGAGTCCACCAGCGCTATGTAGTAGATCATCCACGAGGAGGTCATCTGCTTGTACAGATTCGCGGCGTACTCGATGTTCGACACCTTCTGCATGAGGAACTTGAGGCCGGGTCGCGAATCAAACTCCAGGGCAGACATCAGGTACTGCTTAACGCAGCGCAGCAGGATCTCCTTGGAGCGAAAGTCCAGGTCGTAGTCGTGGCTGGGTGAAGCCGCCGAAGCGGCATAGTTGTCGAAGATGCAGGTGGACACCGCCTGGGGCACACACTTCAAACGCGACAGGAGCAGCTTGGCCACCAGCTGAAGCAACATCTGGTTGGCCAGCAGACCAACCACCAGGTTCTTGAACGGAATCCGGATCACAAAGTTATCCAGGTTCGAGTTGAAGCCATTGTTGAGCGGGTACAAGAGGAACGAGTAGCTCCGGTCGTCGGACAACTTGCACTGCGAGGCACTGGGCGTGGGAGCCTGATTCTGACCCGGTTCCCGTTGATTGTCGGACAGGAAGACCTGCTGCGCCAGCGCATATATCCTGGCCAGCTCCTCCAGGCTGCTATCCCGCCGTGCAGCCACCTTCACATTGGCGCAATCCCCGTAGAAACTATTCGACTTCTCGTGGAAGGCGAACGAGAGCTGGCGCAGCGGAGCAATTGTCACGGTGCAGGCGCGATGGATGGCGGAGCAGGCGATCATCCACTGGGACTCATTGAAGAGCATGCCGGTGGAGAGGATTACGTGCTTCAAGCAGGACACCGATATCCTAGCAATCGCCTCCTGCGACTGAGCAGCACACTCGATCAGGACCAGCAGCAGTTGCTTCAAGGCCAGCGTGGCCGAACCCGAGATCTTGGTGGGCGACTCTATAAGGTTCGATCCACCTCCTCCCACGCCGCCGCCGTTCTTCTGCTGCTCCTCGCTGGCGGAACTGGAGCTGCTGTCGTACTGCTGCGTGTAGCCACATCCCGGATCCTGTGCAGACGGCGACTGCTGCTGCTGCTGCTGCTGCTGCTCCCTTTCGATTCTTTCCGTCACGAATTTCAGCTTGGAGTACAGCAGATTATCCGCCGGATGAACTATCTGCGCCAAACGCGTCTTGGTGCCCGCTCCCAGACGCCGCTGCTCCGGCACCGATTTCTCTATGAACTCCACAACCAGATCGGTGGTCATGCAGCAGCAGTGCTTGAAGTTCTTCTCCACGAGCTGCCAGGAGGAGCCCGTTTTGTTGATGTACCGCAGCCAGTCCTGGATCATCGGCACCAGCAGGTGGTTGATGCAGTAGAAACCGAAATCGATGCCCGGGCTGGCCAGCAGGTTCTTGAACAGCTTGAAGATCGTCTGCAGGATTGGTGCCTGGTGGGAGTAGGGGCAGACGATCAGCGAGTTTGTGAGGCCATCAAGCAGCAGGAACCAAACTTTGAGCACACCCGACGGCTTGTCCATCTCGTCGATCTTGACAATGGTGTCCTTGTCGATGTGCAGGGACCTGTAGGAGATCATGTACTGCTCGTTCCGCGTCTGGAGATAATCGTTCCCGAAGTAGGTAAAGTTCTCCATCGAACTGGGTATATTCGCGTCGATGATGTGCGTGTAGGAGATGCCCTTGATCTTATACGTTGAGTGGAAGTTGGGACACTTGGGCATACTGTGCATGAAGCCCAGGATGCTGGAGCACCGCTCAAGGAAGCGAAGAGTCTCGTGCAGGAAGTCCGTGGGCCGGAAGGTGTTATCCTCCTCCTGCTGCGCAGCACTCGATCCAGTTCCTCCGGCAGCACTTCCACCGGCACAGGTATTGTTATTCCCTCCGCCGGAAATCTCCAGATAGGACAGCAAGCAGAGGATGCAATCCAATCCAGCGTTGGCGAACACCAGCGTGTTGTCCGAGTCGAGGAACACCCGGAA